TTGAGGCCTTATCTTCCTTTTTTTTTTTTTAATGACTGAGCTCAGAGCACAACCAGAAATATTGATTCTGAGTTCGATACAACTGTTTTGTAGAATTCTGTGGTGGTAGGGTTGGCATTCCAAAAGTTAATTCTCAACTTCACCAAAAAGGACTTATAATCAGAAAAGTACCACCTCAACTAAATATATTAATGAAATTCTCCTTTTAGAGATAAGCTACTTATAAAACACAAGATAGCATCATAGGCCCTAAAGCAAATACTTGATCTCTCCCTAGATGTAGTTCACTCTGCAGGGTCTGTTGAGCATAAATAATTTCTAAATACAAACATCTTTGACACCTCTTTAATTAAATTAATAATAGTCGATGCATTTACTTGAACCATCAAATTTATATACCGAAGAGACAGAGAGAATGTTATTGTTGGTTCTATGGTAGAAACAGAACATATTGTGAACAAAGGGGAATTTTGAAAGTGAAATTTCTAACATGCATTTAGAGAACTGCCACTCTAATGAATCCCTGAGGGCTGGAGATAATGTAATTCTTCCAAGGAATGACAATTTTTGTGTATGTGTCCTGGGCCCAAACCAGAAATTGGGTTTTACGTTTCTTAGAATTATTGAAGCATTCTTGCTGAAGACAAATGGTTGGAGATGCATCTAGCCCTACCATCAAATTATGGGTGAACACTGATGTGGATTTTGAATGAACGCACCAAAGAATATTTGAGGACCAATATTTTTAGTATACTAGGAACTTAGACTGACAGTAATTCATTTGTAATTTTGCATCACTACACATAGGCTTTCACATTTCACAGATTAATAATTAAATTTAACAAGTATGTTTTCCCATTTTATTTTATTGCCTAGAAAGTAAGTCCTATTAAATAATATTGTTTCTTATCTCTGGCAGATAATTTAATTTAGGCGAAATTAGGCCTCTAGAACTTTGCTGCATAGCACATTATTGCTGATTTATTCCAAAGTTAGCTCCACTATTGTATATAACTTATGAATGGGAGTGGACACACCTTTTATAGACAGAAAAGTACCTAAAATAGTCTTCTAAAATAGGAGAAAAATATTTCAAAATGGTATTTTCATTATATTAATGAGAAGTTAAGATTTTACCACAGTTCTTAAACTTGTATTTTAATTACTGTCTATGAAAGGTATATCCTTGTGAAATACTAAAATAAGCTAAAATGTATGTTTTTATCACATTATAACCAAAGCCATATATATTAACTCATGTGTGCTGACCATGGTACTCTGCATTTTAATTTGTCTCAAATTACAAACACATTTTTAGAATTGAGTTGGTTTTTGTGTATGCAGTGCATAAAACATTTAATAAATATATTTTTGTCCAGAATTTTAATTTGTTTATGTACTGTGCTATAATAAAGTAGATTAGTAGCTATTTAACTTTATTTAGTGTCAACCCACATTCTTTTGTGGAGGATAAGAAAAAAAAAGAAAACCTTTTAAGAGATATAGGAAATCTCTGGGAAGGAGGATTCTTCTGATTTTTGGTCTGAGTTTTATACTTTTTTTTAATGTCAACAGTCTGTATTATATAGGAAGAAGAATTTATTTAGTTTTTGAGATGACAGGCAGCACAATTATGATATGTATTTGAAATTGTGGAGAGTTACTATGGGTCAATCTTGTAATCAGTTTGAGTTCCATCTTAATCACCATTCATTATAATGATGTTTTAAAAATATGTTGTGTATTTCACTGGAGATAAAGAAGAATTCCAGATTTTCTAATACTGCAAGGCTTTAGTGTAGATAAGTTTTCCTTTACTACCTGCACCTTAGATGAACATTCTACTTGGTTCAATGTAACTGCCATGAAAATTGTTAAATAGATATGTAATGTATGAAATTAGATTTATGGTTTTCTCCTTACAGATTTCATATACTCACACACAATCATACATTTGTTACCTAGAGTGTGTTTTTGTTCAATTGGCTTTGATTGGTCTTATTGGAATCTGCTGTGCCTTGACATGAGATATCATAAGATATGAAATTTAAAATCATCAAGATGCAAGTTTATGCATTGTTACATACTCTCATCATGATGACTTGAGTGTAGGGACAGCTAGTTCTCTTTACAGAAGGCCCACGTGTCTTTTAACTCACTTTTATTTGTGCAGTGAAAGTTGTGTGTTAATATATTGTTTAACCTATTTTTCACAAGGGGTAGGATAAAAGTCTATTTTTAAAGAATTCACAAAAAATAATGCTTAAAATTATAACACTTCATTAAACTTGGCTATTTAAGAACTTGAACCATTTCAATAGACTCAGACATTTCCTGGATCTAAGTTAATAGTAAACTTATCCTTTTATAGTTATATTGAACATTAGAACCAAAATGCTTTTGTATTAATTCCTTGTACCGCGAATTTATCATTTTGTAGCCATGCCACTTGAAATCAATACCTTTCATCACATATTAGAAAAGTAATCCAGGAAAATGCTTTTTATTAATGATATGCTAGAGTCCAAATATTTTAGGAGAAAGTTTTATTTAGTGTTGCTTATTCCATTACTACGGAAGAGATGTGATTTATAAAGGCAAGTTAGAGCAGTTAAAAAGTCAATAATATCTTCAAGTTTAGTAATTACATGGCAAGAAGAAACAAATATAGTTTAAAACTATATATTTAAGTTTTAGAATTTATTTTAATGGGTGATAATGGAAATTAGTGATAAGAAAACTTTTAGAATTTGTTCAGAATGTGAAGGAAGTATACTAAAATATAAAAATATCATTGTATGTTTTTAGTATATATTGACAATACTATCTATGCCTAAAATTGGGGGGTATGGTTTTATTTTAAGCTGCAAAATCTGTAGCATCCATATTACCACTACCAGGATAAGGTACGAATTATTGCTGGCTGCACAGGGAAATCACCTGGCAACTATGTCTGTCCCATCTAAAACCAATTAAATTAAACTCTCCATTCATGATCATTATCCTACAAAGCTTATAGATGATATAATAACTTTGCTTGAAAGCAATGTTTTCATAGTAAAGAGTGCTTGGTATCATTATCAAAATGTACCAGAAAAATCATCTTTTGGTTATTTACATATAAGCAAATATTCACAAGATATGTTAATCTAGAGATACTTAGGACAAATTGGGTTAAACACAGGGTTGAACCACTGCATGAGAAATTGGGCCATAAGTCAGAGAAAGATACTAAAGTTTTAACATTGAAGTCATATTATTGAAGCATACAACAAACTTTGTTTTCTTGAAGTCTTTTAAATAAGGTGGATTTTCATCAGTTTTTGTTTAACCTCAAAGACTTCTCAAAGCAGTTTTCAAATTACTAATTTTATCTAAGTTGTTTTATTTTTGTCACAGTATTTCAAAATAAATTTGCACTTAAGAAGTCATCAGACCTTATTACACTGTATATGAAATTTTAGTGAGAAAGCTTTATAAATTGCAGTAAGATTTTGAATGATGTTTGTAGTTAATTTTAATTTTATCATTATAAATACTTTTTTCTTTCAAGAGAAAATAAAATTTTAGTATTATGATACTGAAGACAGCAACTTTAAAAATTAGTATCTGATTTTTAAAACCAATAAAAATAAAGGAGAAAAAAACTTCCCTTTTACAAATTTTCTTATATTTCATTAACTGAAGTGGTCCAGTAGAAGATTAAAATTCTAAAATGATTGACATCAAGTTGTGTATTTATTTTAAAGTGAATGATTTTGAGAGGGTTAGAGACCTCATGTGGAGTAAATTTTAACAGAATATAGTTTCTTCTAATGCAATTTTTAATATTCAACCCTTTATAAAACAAATTACTTTTACCTATATGACATATTTGAAGAACATTTTTGTGTTTATTGTAGTATGTATAACATTCTCCATCAACCTTTCTAAGATATTGTATAAAAAAGAAAGGGGAGCAGCCACTGAGAAACTGAAGTGTACAGATTTTTTATGCTTCCATATTTGATGTGTTTGTTTCCTATTACATTTTATAGTGCCTATATCTGCCAGGCGTGTTATCTACATAAAAAGTTTTTGCTTAGGGCCTTCAGAGATATCAACCAAACATTTCCCCAATAACCAGCTAGACATCTCATTGTTAGATGGCATGCTTTCCTCACTCTGTTAACATTTTCTCTTTCAAGATCCACAGGGAGAAACATTTTAAGTGACTTAGTCTCATGTATGAGATGTAAAAGATCATTTTTCTCACATGGGTTACCAACTCTGTCCTTTCTTCCTATACAATTACTGAAAGAACTGATGCTTTCCAGTACTTTTTCTTTTTTTTTTCCTCAGATGTTTTCTTTAGCATTCTGTTTTTAAGCTGAAAAAATAAAAATTGAAGGTTCATAAGTTCATGTTTACAAAGTAAGGATTGTAAAGGTCTTTTTTATGGCTTTCATAAAATTGAATAGTCTGTCATTTGTATGTACTCTTTTGCCAAAAGTTATTCTTGATATTGAATTACTCCACACCATGTCCAAAATATTTGTCTTGTTTTTTTAGCTGATGAGGGAAGAGGATAGAGGCCAGTGGATAATTTTGAAAGATATGATATAGTTCAGAAGAGTAGAAAGGGAGACACTAAGTTTTAATACTTATCTCAATTCAGTGAATAAAATTTCATCCAGCATCACTAGGTGGCAGGCTGTGCCTTCGTATGGAGGGGAAGTGGAGTGGATTAACCCTGTACCTTCCATACTTTTTGCGTGTGTTTTTAGCCTGATGATGACAGTTAAAGAAAGCTCTCCTATAGTCTGAAGTGCTTTTGTAACACACATTCATTCCAAGAATTCAAGTCACAGCCTTTGCAAAGAGGATTATCTTTCTGGGATACACACAGTCAAGATTATGATATTCATAACTTTCATAGATTGAAGAAGTTATACTTAAAGTGATTAAAGCATTCTCTACTCTAAAGCATTACACTTCCCCCTTTTTTTTTAATTGTGCAGGTGACTTGGATTATTACTGGTTGGATCCTGCCACGTGGCATAGTCGGGAAACATCACCGATTAGTTCGGTAAGTTTTCTGAGAATTGAGTTTGGAATTTAAGGGTAATGTTTATTGTCCTTTGCTGTTATGTGATAGATAGTAATCTTATTCTGCTCCATTATACATTTTATGAGAGCAAACATTGATTTCATTTAAGACAGAACAGTTTTGAATAAAAAAGTTATCACTGAATAATTATAAAAATTTTTAACAAAAAGGAATTATTAAATGATGACTGGAAATCAGATGTTATTTGGTTAAGTATATCAAAATTCACAATACAACTCAAAATACAGAATCAGTTTCTTTATATAAGCAGATATAGTTTTAAATTTCAATTAATTTTATTTCAGGACTATTTTTAAGGATGTACTCAGCTGCTGACTACTTTTAGAACTATTTAAGGTAATAAGTGTCCACTGCAAATGAAAATTGTCATAATCCAAGGATAGAGCCCACAAGAATTAAGAATTCCTTCTACAGTGTCTTTTAACTGAAGAAATCGCATTATGTGACAACTAATAATTATTTGTCTACAGGAAAGAAAACAAATTTTCTTTAACTTTATTCATGTTTTAATAGCATCCTGTAACGTGGCAACCATCTAAAGAGGGAGACCGATTAATTGGACGTGTTATTCTTAACAAGAGGACAACTATGCCCAAAGAATCAGGTGCATTACTGGGTCTGAAAGTAAGTATGCTGGTTTTTAAAATGTTTCTTAAAGGGTGAATTACAGTATGGACTGGATTCAACAAAGTACCTGACAATGACTTTTAAATATTTCCTCTCTTCTCCAAATAAAGTCCTTCTAGTGAATGCCTTGTTAACATAGTGATGTTTTATGGTAAATTTAGTATTTTATCTAGGTTAATATTTTAAAAATACTTTGTTAATATGACACTATGTTAGAAAATTGCAACGGATTATAGGAAAACTAAAGGATATTTCTCTGAATATAAAGTTCAAGTACAATTTTTATAGCAAAAAGGTTTTAATGTATGGTCCTAAGGTTAGATAATGCAGACTGCATAATTTTATTATACTTGATAAGCAACATAAAACACCATTAGTGATATTGTTTTGTAAGTGCAGTAGAATTTATGGTAATATCAAAAGAGTAAAATGTATCCTTTAAAATATTAATTGACTTTAACAGAGAAAATTAAAAATTAATAAATTACAAAAGATTATATTTTATTGTAGGAAAAATAGGTGCATACATTTTGTTTTATTATGTTTGTGCATGTGTGTTAAATCTCATGGTTTTATTTCCTTTAGAAAACAGAGAAACATTCAAAGCTGTGGCTTTAAAATTACTTACCAAGAGATTGTTTTATAGTTGTGTGATAGTTTGATTTCTTCCAAGCCATTGACTATTACCAACAAAAAAATTTTAAGTTAATGTATTTAATAGTATCACTTTTTTATTATTACCCTTAATTTCTCTTGTTATGAAGGAATTGTCGTCACCTACCCTAATGGGCACATCCCTATGAATTATGGATCAATCTCAACCTTTGAGAATATCCTTCCAACTTCTAATTATACACAGGTAGTCTCTGCTTAGGAAGAAATTAAACTTAGAAACTTTCTGATATATTTATTTTTAACTAAGTGGAAAAGCCAGGTGAGAGTGTTAAATATTCAGTAATAAAACTCTGGCTTTGAGAGTTAGATTGAATCACATACACATTTCAGGTGAGGAGCTCATTCGCATGTTCAGTAACAGACATAAATTTGGGCTGTTATTCTTTGAATGTGGTAAATTGCTTCCCCAAAGTTGTCTGTTGTTGGTCTGAATTCCTGGTCTTTATGTCTTAGACCTACATTCCACTAAATATACAAAAGAGATCAAGATCAGAAATGCCAATGGGGCATTATCTGCATTTAGAAATATAATTCACATGGGGGGCATGAGTTGAGAGGATAAAGAAAAATGAACCCTAATGTAAACAGTATCAAACCCTTCCTGTGTTTGATGGTAAGTGAGAAAGAACTGGCACTTGTCTTGTAGGGTTATTCACAATCCATGTCGCCTTTGTGTTGTTAGGTCAATATAAGTAATCAGTACATAAGCTTCCTTAGGATATATGGCCATCTTAAATATAATGAGATGATGTTTTCTTTTTAAACCTATGCTTCCAGCTTCTTTAATCAGAAATGTATAACACTTCATTAATGTCCCCACATTCAATTCTCAGTACATCATAAGAGACTGATGTGATTAATTCCTCAAACTAAAATCTTACGTTTTAGTCTTGGGCACTTATAAATTTATAATTATCCAGGTTGTTGGAGGAAAAATGACTGACTTAGGACGCCTTGGTGCCTTCATCACCAAAGTAAAGAAGGGTAGCCTTGCAGATGTAGTTGGACATTTAAGAGCAGGTAAAGTTTCCTTTCACATTTGAACAATGTGTACTCTATGCATGAGTTGGTGGTTTTCAAATTTGGGTAAGTCATAGATAAGTCAATGAAGTAAATAACTAATTTTAATGCATGAATAGATTTTTTTCCCTGATATTGTCACTAGCAGTTTGGACAAAGCAAGTATAGAAATGTTTTTTATTTATGTAAAAATAAATAGATGCAAAATACCAAAAGATTACTAATTTTCATAGATGGCTTCATAATGTTGTTACAAACATATAAACAATTTAGCATTGTGAAAAACTATTATCACTATTTATTTCTTTAGTTTGTATTTAAGCTATAGTAAATACTAGTTTTTCAGATTGGTCCCAAAACACTTATTCACTATCAGTGTTTTTAATAAAATATAAACCCAATCACATTTCTTATATAAATTATATAATAAAATACTTTTTAATTTAAATGTGACATATATTGTACTCATGAGCAACTAATTTTATTTTGAGAGTAGAGTCCAGACAGTTAAACTGTTTGTATATGTTTTGCATCTATTTCTAAAAATGAGAAAAGATAAGAAAAATACACAGAATATATAAGGTAAAAAATTCACTTTTTTTTTTTGAAGGCGATGAAGTTCTAGAATAGAATGGTAAACCTCTGCCAGGAGGTACAAATAAAGAAGAGAACATTTCTAGGCTATGTTTTTAGTTTTTATACCTTACAATTGTAATTGTTAAAACCTTGAGAAAAATATCTATAACTTTTGAAGACATTTTTTTTTTAATATATTTTATTGATTTTTTACAGAGAGGAAGGGAGAGAGATAGAGAGTTAGAAACATCGATGAGAGAGAAACATCGATCAGCTGCCTCCTGCACATCTCCCACTGGGGATATGCCCGCACCCAGGTATATGCCCCCGACTGGAATCGAACCTGGGACCCCTCAGTCCGCAGGCCGACGCTCTATCCACTGAGCCAAACCGGTTTCGGCAATTGAAGACAATTTTTATCAATTGATTACGAGGGTAAAAGTTCAGCATCATTTAGATTTTTTATTCAATAGGAATGTGCTATGAATGTGTTATATATAGAGAAAATTCAAATTGGGTTTATTTTATTTACTATACATACAGCTTTGAATATGTGCAAAGGCAGAGTACACTATTATTTCTTATCAGGGACTAGTTATCCTAATATATAAAAACCCAGGGTCCTTAACGACCGACCGACTGAAGGCTCAACTGAACACTGGATGTCAGTCTGGCAGTCAGTGCTGGGTTGCTGTAGTGACCCAGCACTGACTGCGACTGGTGCGGGCACAGCCACCCAGCACTGTCTGTCAGGTGGACTGCAGATCATGCCTGGAGAGAGGCAGGGTCTTATCCGCAGCCTCCATGGCAGCTGTTGATCAGCCGTTGCCTCTCTCTTTCTCTCCGGACTTCACCAGCAGCTGTGCCTCTGTTTCTCTCCAGGCTTCTGTAGGGGCTGCTGATCAGGCCCATAGATCGGCAGGGAGATGCTGACTGGCATAGAAACTGACCAATCAGAACCAAATCTGGGTGAACTGTGAGGAGCCAATGGGTTCCTAGGAGGCGGAGCTTTTGACCCTGACTGATATAGAAAGCGACCAATCAGAACCAAATCTGGGTGAACTGTGAGGAGCCAATGGCTGCCTAGGAGGTGGAGCTTTTGATGCTGACTGGCATAGAAACCTACCAAAACCAAATCTGGATGAACTGTGAGGAGCCAATGGCTGCCTAGGAGGCGGAGCTTTTGATGCTGACTGATATAGAAACCAACCAATAGGAACCAAATCTGGATGAACTGTGAGGAGCCAATGGCTGCTAGGAGGCAGAGCTTTTGACATTGACTGGCATAGAAACTAACCAATCAGAACCAAATCTGGGTGAACTGTGAGAATCCAATGGCTGCCTAAGAGGTAGAGCTTTTGACGCTGACTAGCATAGAAACTGACCAATCAGAACCAAATTGGCTGGCAGGGAAGGGCAGTTGGGGGCTAGATCAGGCCAGCAAGGGAGGGCAGTTAGGGGCGATCAGGCAGGCAGGCATATGCAGTTAGGGGCAATCAGGCAGGCAGGCAGAGAGGTTAGGGGCGATCAGGCAGGCAGGCAGGTGAGTGGTTAGGAGCCAGCGGTCCCAGATTGCAAGAGGGATGTCCCATAGGGATCGGGCCTAAACCGGCAGTCAGACATCCCCCAAGGGGTCCCCAATTGGAGAAGGTGCAGGCTGGGCTGAAGGAACCCCCCCATCCTCCCCCCCAGTGCATGAATTCCGTGCACCGAGTACTAGTCATTAAATAACTAACTCAATAAAGAGTGACTATATCAGCAAATTGAGTCTTTGCTTATTTTATGACTCAAAAATAAGCCTTAGAAATCTCTGTGGCTTTGTGCTCTTCTAGCAATTCCATCCACTTCCATTACCTTTCACTCTACCCTGCAGCCATAGCAGTTCACCTGTAGGTCCCTGGCAAGCTGTTTCTGCCTGTGAGACCTGGTCATCTAGTCTACCTGGTTTCTTTTCTGCTCTTGTGCTCTGCCTGTTGAAGTCCTTTCCATCCTTCAAAACTCATCTAAAGTTCCCTTAATTCTAAAGTGTTTCCTGATATCTCACTCGGGACAGTAACTTATTACTACCTCCTTAGCAATACCTGGCTCTATTTCTGTTCCTCAGATGAACTGCTATCATTTCATGAAAGGTATTGATTTCTATAATTCTCCCCCTCCAAATTTAAGGACAGATAAAATCTCTTGTTGCATCTTTGTACCATCATAATCTATGTCCCTGCCTGAACATATTATTCATATATAAATAAATATGGCTAAAGAGACCACTTTCTGGTTGAGGATGTATTGATTTGTAAATAAATAAATGTGTGTACTAAGTTAAATTGATGTTAAAAGTTATGCTCCAGGTTGCTGTCTATAAAGAGGAGAATTTTATAATCCAGTCTTTTGAAAAATGTTGATTGCGGTGCATTACTGGATAGTAAAATTGACTTAATGGTTTGCATCCATTGTTTTTAAAAAGTGAAATAGAACATAATAGAATAGAAAATAACAGGGTAAGTATGGTTCCAGAAAATATTTTTCATACACATACACACACATATACATATATACATTCACATGAGGTAAACTTAATTTCTTGGCCAAAAAATTTAGAGGACTCCTGATATATATTTAAATTTGTAATTATTTTATTTCTTTTTTATTTGAAGTATATTTATTGCCTACTTGATAAACATGGTTAGGGAACTTCTTAGGTCAAACTATTAGAAGTCATTTAACTATTGGTAATAACTGTACTCTTTTACCAAACCAAAGCAGCATCATGTCCTTTTCAAATATTTAGTTTTTACTTTTTGGGTGAAAAAAATTACTTATATTAGTTATATCAAAACAAAGTTTTCTACTTAAAGACATGCTAGTTAAAAACTAAAAGATTTCATGTTTATGTTTATGATGATATTGATTCATTAGTTCAAAAAATATTTGCTTAGCTACTAAATGTTATAGACACTGAAAACAACAAAATAAAGGAACAAAAAAATTAAGATGCCTCAAAGTACCATTGAGGCTGAATATTTTAGCCGAGCCTTCCATAATGTATTGAAAGGTACTAGACAGAGAACCCTTTGGGATCTAAAACTTCACTAACTATTTATGAAAATAAATAGTATTTCCCAAATTATGGTGAAAATTCTGGTTAAAAATAACAAGTTGTTAGCCCATGTATTGTAACATGGAATCACGTACTTTCTTTGATTAATCTTATAATATTTAACAAACTAATGAGTACTCAAATTTTTATTATCTTAAAAATATTTTCTAACTTTAATGCTCACAATATATATTATGTATAGAATGTGTGTGTTATGAACATCTGGAAGTGGGTTAACTGTCATGCGAGTTTTTACATCTGCTTGCTTTGTAACTTTGCCATAGCTACCTGTGTTGCCCTGTAGGTATAAATTCAAGTCCTTTCATGCATTTTTATTCTGTTGTGCATCTGGTGAAGACAAAGACTCATGACTTATAATTGGAAAAATCATGCTAACAAACGTTAATTGCAACTTCTACCAAAAATAAAGCAGGATTAATGTAGAGTTTAATAACAATCTTTTACACTTAGAGAAGGCTACATTTATTATATGGAGGGCATGCTGCTAATTATTATTTTTTAATGTTTCCAAATAAGCTATGCTAATTCCATTCCATAGCATGAGATTATTTTTATGTTATTTCTGGTATATTTCAAAAGATGAAGGTAGTTTGTATTATACTGTTTCTAGTGACCAGTAGGATTCATCTGGGGAGAGAAAAAGAAAAAAGAAAGAAAAGAAAAAAGCGTTTAGAAGAACAATTTAGCTGACAATATATGGAAATCAATTTCTTGAGAGCAGAACCTAGACAGTTAAACTATTTGTATATGTCTTGCATTTCTTTGTTTTTAAAAAAGAGAAAAGATAAGAAAAATACACAGAATATGTAAGGTAAAAAAATACCCTTTTTTTTAAATTCAAGGGGATGAAGTTCTAGAATGGAATGGTAAACCCCTGCCGGGAGCTACAAATGAAGAAGTTTACAACATTATTTTAGAATCAAAATCAGAACCTCAAGTTGAAATTATTGTTTCAAGGCCTATTGGGTAAGGCTAAAAAAACTTACTTCTTAAGTTTAGTAAATTACATGTATAGTAGGGTTTTAAAAAGAAGTTTATACATTCATACAATACATGCTAACATGGATACTTTTTCTTCAATGATGGGCATACAGTTTAGATTTAAATTTCTTAATTTTTTAAATCTGAATACTGAATTTTCCTCACTACATTTTAGAAGCTTCACAATTTAACAATTGTAATATCAAAAAATATTAATATGCTTTTTTAGACATAAAATATAAAGTACAATATTTTTAATGGTAGATCTGTTTATTTTTAGTAATTCTCATTTAATGAATAATATTTCCTTAAGGAGAGTCATTAACACACTTATCTTCTTGTGATATTTAAAATAGAAATGATTTCATATGTCTACATGAACTTTTTATTCTACTAAGAATAGAATATTTTTTATATTTTTTAAAAATTAAGCAAGTGTGAAATATTTTAACATTTAAATTGGTCATAATAATTAATACAATATTTTTAAAATTTCAATTTTCAGCATAATTTAATTATCTGCTGGCAGTAAGATAATTTCTATATCTTTGTGTAGAATTCCTCATAGAGTGAGGTTTTCCTGGCAACCCATAAAGTCTAGAACATTCATTTTGCCAGTTGACATTATTTTGGAAGGCATGTTTAATTGTCTTATTATAATTGGTTTAATATATGAATATACTTTTTGAAACAATTTTCTTTTTTTCCTATTCCCTAAAATATAATAAAGTCATTAATTAAAGATATTTTATGTTGAATAAGTGCTAACCCTAAATTTTTGTTGTCCTCATGAATATGTCACTGTAAAACATACAAGGAAATATGATTATTCTAATTCTCAAAAGACTGAAAATGTATGATAATATATTCCAAAGAATAATATTAATATATATATACATATATATATAAAACTCTAAAATAAAGACAAGCTTATGGCCCATTTTAAGTGGTGATTATTAAGAATGAACACTTACAAAAGTATTTTACATTTCAATGCAGATTATTTTAAAAAATAACTCACTATAATTTATGCTAGTTTTATATAACACCTGTTCTAGTGCTTAGGTAAATATGAGGCTGGAAAAGAGGTAAGTAATTGGAAAATGAATCAAAATATTAAAAAAAATTAAAATCAAGCATGTGCATTTTGCCAAATACTTTCAGATATATGGTGGTTTCAAATTAGCTAAAATATTTTTGATTCTTAGTGACTTTAAAAAACAAAGACTATTAAAGTAGACTGGAATAACATTTTCATTATTTTATACTTTTGTATGAAAATAATTTCAAAGGTAATAATCCACATAGCCAAAGCCTAAACTGTCACATATATAAAGAATATGGGATATAAAAATATTTATATAAAAATTAAATCTAGTATTACTTTTCCAGTTGATGGAAATATTATTAGACTTCTGAAAAAATAATTCTAGTTATTTAATAACTATGTTTAATGTAGCTTTATAAGTAATTTAAAACTGAAAGCAAATATTTATTCATTGTTTTGTGGCATAATCATTTCTATAATTATCCCAAGTATAATTTACATGCACATTAGTCAACATGGTCTAGCAACAATGGAAAGCAGTATGGAGGTTCCTCAAAAAAATTAAAAATAGAGTTACCATATGACCCAGCAATTCCACTTCTGAGTATTATCCAAAGAAATCCAAAACACTAATTTGAAAAGATATATGCACCTCTACGTTAACTGCAAAATTATTTACAATACCCAAGATATGGAAGCAACCTAGGTGTCCTTCAATAGATGAACAAAGATGTAGTACAGATATACAATGGAATTTTATTCAGCCGTAAAAGAGAATGAAATCTTATAATTTGTGTCAAGATGGATGGACCTATAGGGTATTATGCTGAGTGAAATAAGTCAGACAGAGAAAGGCAAATACCATATGATTTCACTTATATGTAAAATCTAAAGAACAAAAGAAATGAACATACAAAATAGAAATAAACTAATAAAGAAAACCAAGTGATGGTCAGGTCACTATGTGGGAGGGAGATTGGGGGGAATGGGTGAAAAAGGTGAAAGGGATTAAGAAAAATAAATTGCATATATGTATATATATATATATATATATATATGTATATGTATACACACACACACACACACACACTCATCACAGGGATGTAACATAGGGAATATAGTCAATGATATATCAGAGTGATCACTTCCTAAGGTATATAAATGTCTAATCTCTATGTTGTATACCTGAAAACAATATAATATTGTATGTCAAGTATAATTGAAAATGAATTTTTAAAAGAGAGATGTAAAATAGTAATATAAAAAGAAAACAGAAACCCATGGTTTAAGAGACATCAGTCATCTTCACATAAATTGACCATTTTTGCCAACCTACCAAGTACAATATGCTTAACCTTTATGCTTAATTGTTATTAAAACTATTCTGCTACATCATCACTTGTGTGTAGAATTGTGTAAATGTCAATTGGAAATTTATGCCTTGAAAATATTACTGAAGGAGTCAACATTAAATAAATTTTGATTCAAAATCACTTAAAAAGTTTTACAACGTTTTCACAATTCTTCTTTCACAAACACATAAAATCCAAAGCTTTCACCTGGTTTCAGAGTTCCATGTTCTAACTTTCACAATAGCCTTTGAGGTTGAGTTTCAAATAAGTTATAATATATAAAAAAAATTTTCTGGATTTTTAAAAATTTACTTTTATTTCTCCAGTTAAATTTAGAAGAAAGTTGTGGAGGATAAATAGTTGGTTTCTTGCATCTTAGGTATTGCAGTTTAGTCTCCTAATTATCATATAAATATTTATTTTATAAAAATTCTTTATTATACAAATATACATATAATAACATTTATTTATAAAATACATAATACAGGTTATAGTGCCAATTGCAAAGTGTATAAATTGTAGGTGGTTATGAGAATTGCACAAAAAATGTGAAAATGAGAGGCAGGAAAACAATCAAAAGGAGAAAATTGTTTTTGTTTCTATTCCTCCCTCCTACCCTGAAAGTGCAAAGAAAATCAAATTGAAATTAAATAACAAGGTAAGTGGTTAGAAATTCTTAAATAGTATTTTAATGATTCTCTTAATACTAGCTTACTCCAGTCTGCTTTAATATGTCATGTTAATACTTGCATACTGTTAATCTGGTCCATATATTATACTAAAATATCTTTGGAATACCAGAGGTAAAGTAGTTCCGTATAGCACAATTTCCAAACCAAGCTGGTCCAAGGTTCCTAAGGTCACAGTGGATAATGGATTAAGTTGAGGTTATATTAAATTCAGAATTATTTGTGAGTGTGACAGGAATGGGTGTTCTCACGAGTCACTTTCTAATCATATCTAAATAACCATCTATTTAGCTAACTTCAGTATAAAGATATGAATCTCAATATAGGGTTATATATGTGTATATTAATTATATATTCACATATATAAAGTATTTTGGCTTTTTTGTTGCACGCTTGTATCATTTTTAATTTTCAGTGCAATTCATCCTTTTCATTTTATTAACTTTGCCCATGATATTCACCATATTATTTTAGTATCAAGAGATGTTTGCATCCCTTTCATTCAGTAAACTCTTTCAGATGTGTTTGTAAAGCATATTACTGATTTGTAAAATATGTGCCATTTTAATTTTCTAGAATTGAAATAAACTATTACCTTTGACATTTTTTTAATTTCCAAAACCTGCTGTTTTGGTAGTAAAAATATTGTGGCAATTTTAGCCACAATATTAGTCTTATTGTTGTCATGTTAAAAGTATTTGGCTATTAAATATAAAAAAAATTATTTTTACTGCAGTTTTTATTTTTATGTGGTGTTTGACATTCATGCACATTAGTAATTGCCTTAATAGTGACTCCTGTCCATTTCCACCTATAAAGACCCAAAAGGATTCTTCACACCCCTGAAGTAAATGTGACTGTGATTGCCTCAGGCAGGTACTGCAGCTAATGGGATTTTCACCCTACACTGTTTCTTTTAGTGACATTCCAAGGATTCCTGAGAGCTCCCACCCGCCCTTGGAATCCAGTGAGTATCAGAAGATTTCCTTGTTATTATGATATGTGTTGAATGAAATTGAAGAATGAAGATTTATTGTTTTCTTTAGCTATTTGATGTAAAAGACTTGGTATTGTTATATTAAAGTTATCTCCAATGATATCAGAAGTTGGCAACCATAATAATCATTGGAAACCCAAAGGCATTCTAAGATTTTTTTCTTTTTCTAATCTGTGTGTGTGTGTGTGTGTGTGTGTGTGTCTACAAAAATCTTTATTGGCAATAGCCTTCTGAATAATAAAAGTTAGGATCCCTCATAGAGCTCAGTTATTACACCTGTGATAGTTCTATTTACTTTACTGTATCAAATGCATACCATCATGTTATGCATACCTGCTAGAGATGAGACCAGATTTGGTTTTGAGCTTTCTGATAGCCAGTATACAAATGGAAATGGAACCAACTGCATAATTTGTAGAGTTGATACTCTTTAAGAATTAGCTGCTGTAATAATAAAAACAAACTGATTATTAGAAGTACCGATGTTCTTGTACTGAGACCCCCCAAAAATATTATCTTAAGGAAACTTGATAAAAGAGACATAGTAACAAAGAACATTACAGCACTGTTTCTTATAGTTAAATGTCTTTGGCAGGCACAGAATGATGCTTTGTGGCTTAAATTAGACTTTATTTATAGGATAGAAAAAAAATTGTGTGGATAGCAAATTATCAGGCAATGGTCCATGAATAGTGTTTCATCAATATAGCTAAGCTCTGAATGGCTGTGGGTTCAAGGTTACACTTACTGGAGTAACAGCATTATGTAGACATTCTATACTGCTGGTTGTATCAGGGTACACTTAAACAGTGAGTTGGGACTAGAGCAGTGATGGTGAACCTTTTGAGCTTGGCGTGTCAGCATTTTGAAAAACCCTAACTTAACTCTGGTGCCGTATCACATATAGAAATTTTTTTAATATTTGCAACCATAGTAAAACAAAGATTTATATTTTTGATATTTATTTTATATATTTAAATGCCATTTAACAAAGAAAAATCAACCAAAAAAATGAGTTCGCGTGTCACCTCTGCCACGCATGTAATAGGTTCGCCATCACAGGACTAGAGAGTTTTCATTTGAAAAAGGGCCAGGAAGGGCCTCATGGAATGGCTGAGTGGAAAGCCAGCCTCCTCCACAAGTAGGGGAATCAAGTCACTTGTGGTGTATCATAGAGACAACATTCTCCGACTTTCAAGAGATTCATTTGTAAGAGCTAAACTGAGATAGATGGTAAATCTTATTTTAAAACAGTGATGAATTCCAGGCTTAGATGAACTCATAAATTATATATGCTTTCATTTAAATTTGATTAAGGATAGTTCAAAACAGATGATCCTTTAGCCAAGATAATTGACATAACAGGTACCATCTTTCTCATTAAAAGTGTGAAGCCTTTTGCCTATATGTGAGATTATGCAAAAGCCTAAACTGTACCCTCCAAAAAATGTAGAAAATCAATACTTAAAAATTGAAGCAAATAAATAAAATATTTGATTATACCCATTTTATTATCTGTAAAATAGGCGGTTAATCAAAGAAGATGGAGTAAGTTTCTACAACTATCTAATTGAAAGTAGGCTCTGCTGTTATTATTGTTATTTAATTCTGGTTTTATACAAATAACATGAGTTTAACATTTTATAAAACTACTAGGGGCTCAGTGCACAAATTCGTGCACCTGGAAAAAAGAACTGTGGGATGTGAGGCTGCTGTGGGCACAGGGGCGGGTCTCAGCCCATCCTCCACACCCCCGCCCAGCCCCTCCCACTGCGGCCCCAGGTCCCTTGTCTGCGGGCAGTCCAGCTCCTGCCACCACCGCTCCCACACACTGATGGCTCTGGCCCCGCTTGCACCCTCTGACAACTCGGAACAATTAGGGCCAGCCCCATCAGTGGGTACAAGTGGGAATGGTGCTGTCAGTGGGTGAGAGCAGCAGCTGCTGCCCCAATTGCCCCTCAGGAGCAGCGGGAGGTGGAGAAACCCTCAGGGGCGATCGGGGCCAGCAGTCGCTGCTCTCACCCGCTGATGGCGCTGAGCGATCAGGACCGGTGCCGGGCACGAGCAGTGGGTGCAAGCATTGGCTCTGGTGCTGGCTGTGGGTGCGAGCGGCAGCTCCGGCGCCGGCAGTGGGTATAAGCGAGTGCGAAAGGTGGCTGCTTGCCCTGATTGCCCCTCAGGACCGGGGGGAGGTGGAGACCTGGAGGTATGATCCGGGTCGGCAGCAGGTGGGAGCACTGGGTGGGACTGCAGTACGGGGAAGCAAAGAATTTTCAGTAACCACCAGAAGCTTGCCCTGATGACAGCGACTGGTGCCCCACCTTGGTCTGGCGCCCCTGCTCACCTGCTCCACCATCCTGCCATGGCTGACTCCTGCCATGTTCTGTGCGCGCCCCCTGGTGGTCAGCGCACATCATAGAGACCGGTTGTTTGGTTCTTCAGTTGTTCTGCCATTCGGTCTGTTTGCATATTAGGGTTTTAGATAGATTTATCCCCACACATAGGGTACAAATATATTACTGAAAATTACTTAGTTTTTTTTTTTTTTTTTCTCATTTTAGGTTCAAGTTCTTTTGAATCTCAGAAGATGGAAAGGCCTTCCATTTCTGTTATTTCTCCAACAAGTCCTGGAGCTCTAAAAGATGCCCCGCAAGTCTTACCAGGACAACTTTCTGTATGTATTTTTTATACATGGTGAAGACCGTTAATATTTGCTCACTGTTCTGAATCTATCTTAAAAAATGTATGGCTTTTTTTAAAGCTCATGGTATATTCATAGTCACTTAACACCATAGTCAACATCAATGCATTTTTCATGCATTTTTTAGATCATTCCTTTGTTTATATATTCATTTGGAAATATGTATTGAGTGCTTATAATGTGCCAGATGTTCTGAACATTAAATGATAAATAACCTAAGTAAATATAATATCCATTATAGTTTCTCTGTTATACAAAAGTTTCTGAAGTAAATAGTTGGTTAGACATAATAAAATCAGCAAATTATGTGTCATTTACTTAAAACCTTATGAGCCTGGAGATGGAAATATTTACATTTAAAAGTATTATTTTTAACTTCTTAAGACATTTGGTGAAAACTCATTATACTGATATCACCCTGAAAAAGCTATAATTTTCCTCACTGTTGCCTTATCAATGACCCAGGAAAAGCTGGATAAAGAAACTATGGCTAACTTACATCTTTGTAGATTATGGTAGAATATTGGACATTTGTATAAATAACTAAAATAAAATGTTGCTTTAAATTATTCTATAAATATTAATTGGTCTTTTTCTTTGTTATAAAATATGGATTTCTGTGATCTGTTTTTACTGCTCTCCTCTTTGTTTTAATTAAAGAAGATAACTGTAAGCTTGCTGTTATTTAAAAACCTTTCTTTAGTCTTAACTTGATATATTGAATATATTTGTTGAGTCTTTTATGTTTATTTTAATTTCCCTGTCATCCTTTTATTTTCATTGTATGTGTAAATCTCTTATATACTCCACCTGTATTTTGAGAGGAATAAAAATTCATTTTGGTTTTATGAAAAACACATCTCTGTGATTAACTGGGAACAGAGATATGAATTCATACAGATCTGTGTTTGAATCATTAATCTGCCCCTTACTGTGAAAAAACAATCCCATGGTAAATTAGCTTATCTGCTTGTAATGACTCTTAAATATGTTCCCGTATATACCCATTAAACGATTACATATTTATTTAACCATAAAACTAAAACTGACATAAACATTTTTTAAATAAAATTAAAGTTAACATTGTCTGCTGCCAACACAAATACTGGTTCTTAGGAGTCTAACAATAGCTCAGTGTGTCATTTTCCTATTTTTCTTTTTTCAAACTATCATGAAATCTTAGGAGAAATATCATTATTGGGCCCTCACTTATTCAGAAGTCATCATTTATGTATTGCATATCCCTTTGTTCTTTTTCACTTCTCTCGAGAAAATTAACCTATAATAGTTTAATTATAAAAATTAAATGAGACAAAACAGAAAACAGCAGTAACTGGTGTAAAATAGACCTACAGTAAATGTGTTTCCTGATCTCCCAACTCTCTTGTACATATTGTTCCAAATATGAAATCTCATTTTAATTCATCTACATATGGTATTATAAAACACATTTAGGCACACTATAATTATTAAGCACTTATAACCACCAGCCATTTTCATTTGTCATTTAAAAACAAGAATAGCCCTGGACAGGTGGCTAGGTTGGTTGGAGCATCTTTTCATACAATCAAAAAGTTGTGGTTTTGATTCCTGATCAGGGCGCATACCTCGGTCAGGGGTTCCATCCCCAATCGAGCACGTATGGGAGACAACTGATCAATATTTCTCTCTCACATCCATGTTTCTCTCTCTTCCTTCCTCTCTCTCTAAAATATCAATAAAATTAAGAAAAACATAACCCCTGGTGAGGATTAAAAACCCCCCACAAGGATAATAATTTTAAAGTCCGCTACTTCCCTTTATTTTTTATAAAATGTTTATCATTCGTTTATTTTCATAGCATGATACGATATAAGAGAATATAACACTGCAGGTCTACCAGTTGTAAGTCATGTTTAAAATGCATGAAGAGAAAAGTCAAGTTCTAAGTGGTTATGCCTTCAAAATGGTATTCTTTTTCAAAAATAATATATACAATTCAATTAAAAATGTTTCTTAAAAAATAATTTTAGTATTCTTTTGTAAAATTATAGCTCATTATTTTTACAAATAATTTCTTCCTTCATTGCTCTTAGGTGAAACTGTGGTATGATAAAGTGGGACACCAGCTGATTGTAAATGTTCTGCAAGCAACAGATCTACCTTCCAGGGTAGATGGGCGGCCCAGGAATCCCTATGTAAAAATGTATTTTCTTCCAGATAGAAGGTAGTGAATAATTTTAGAAAAAAATATGCAAAAATCTTTACTAACAGAAAAGGCAGAATTTCCTTTCTTGGATATAGTTTCACTTATTTTGTAAAGCTTTATTGAGATAAAGTTGTTATGCTAAAAATTGCACATATTTAATGTGTACATTTGATGAGTGTGGACATTTGCATACACCTGTGATATAGTTTTAAAATTTAATAGATATTTATCTGAGGGAATGAAGTACATTATCTCTTAAAAGCAAAGCCCTCAAACCTTGTATTTTTTTAAAAAATAATCTTCCAAGTTTTAAGTTTTCTATTACCTTAATTATATACATATTAGTCTTTGATAGCTACACATCATTTAAAATATACCTCTGTATGTGTTAACTATAATCGTAACTACTGCTTACATTGTAGTTAAAACGAGAATAGCATTAATCTCTACAGTATTTTTAGATTTTTTATATTAAAAGAAATGAATTAAACCCCAATAGCAATATCACATGTAACTACAGTAGATGGCAGCATATACTTGTTTTTGCTCTTTCATTTACAAAACATATTTCTTTTTCAGTGATAAAAGTAAGAGGAGGACCAAAACCGTAAAGAAAGTACTAGAACCAAAATGGAATCAAACTTTTGTCTATTCACATGTACATCGTAGAGATTTTAGAGAACGCATGTTAGAAATAACTGTGTGGGATCAACCAAGAGTGCAAGAAGAAGAGAGCGAATTTCTCGGAGAGGTGATGTATACAGTAAAGATGCAAGTCAAATGCTTATTCAAGTTTTTGTGATATGCATTGCTTATGATTGCCTCTTAGATTATGTTTGGTAAATGTGCTTGCTTAATTTGAGAATGCCCTTGCAGATCCTCATAGAATTGGAGACAGCACTTTTAGACGATGAACCACATTGGTATAAACTGCAGACACATGATGAATCTTCACTACCTCTGCCTCAGCCATCACCTTTCATGCCAAGGCGACACATTCATGGAGAAAGCTCCAGCAAAAAACTGCAAAGTAGGTTAAAGTTCTTTTTAGTTACCAGAATTATGTTGTAATGAGATTAAATTTCAAGATATTTTCTCAAATGCCTGTTAGAGATCAGAGTATTGGAAAAGTATTCATTTATGTAAAGAGACCTGGCAAAACTATTTTCTACTTTTTCCCACTGAATATGATATATACATAACAGAGTAATTCCAGAGCTGAAAGTTGAAAACTCTGAATTGTAATTCTTTGCCCAGTACTGATTCAGTTGTTGATTGGTTAGGTGATAGAGTGATTTTTGTTATTATTAATGGATTGCTATATATTAGCGGCAACCTCTTAATAAGTTTAAAGTTCCTCGATATTTTTAGTATTACTATTCCTAAAAAATTAAAATAAACATATAAACTTTGTTGTTTTGCAACCAGTGATTGGGAAAAACTATTTTTTTCTGGGCATCTCCATTAAATTTGAATTATGACTAAATCTCTCATTCAATAATTGAAACATAGATGCTTCTCTTTGGTAATGTAGAACCAAATTGTTTGCCTCATATAATTAAATATTTCATGCTAGTGCTTCTGTGATCAAGCATTTCCTCACTATTAATGTTTAATGCAGTGTAATGGCTAGTTCTGAAGGCTAACCATGCATATTTTATAATGGGCCCTGATGTCCTTGCAATAATATGAGCTCAGTGGAGCTCCATCCATGAAAGGTCTCTTTGAACCTTTCCACTCAGCCTCATCCTCCTCGAACTGCAGAGGACACCTCACTGGATAGAAAACAGTGTATGCACTTTGCAGTAGGCTTTTAGCATAATGCCTGAACTAAAGAATAAATTGAAAAGTCAAAATCTTATTCTATGAAGTCCCCTCCCTTCAATGATTTTATGGAGGAAATACCTAGAAAATGTTATCCTTGGAGAACAAATGTTACTTTAAAAATCTGCTCATCATTTACTTCCAAAAGTATTTATACTAATATAATTAGCTGGAATTTTAAAGGATTGTGACCATTTCATTTACATTTCATAAACCAACAAGACACAGAGGTATCTGTCTTACTGTTGTGCAGGATCTCAGCGAATCAGTGATAGTGACATCTCAGATTATGAGGTGGATGATGGTATTGGAGTAGTGCCTCCAGGTGCGTGGGTGACGAGCATGACCCTGTTTCACTGTGTGACTGTGCTTGTTTTCACTGTCAATCTCCGGATGTCTTTGGGATACTGAACTGGAGATATAGCACAGATAAATCAGTGTTATATTATTCCATGGTGACTTGTGTCCCAAATTACTACGAACATTTAAAATTGACTAGCCACTATTCATTAAGGTCCCCACTTTTTTTTAACTTAGGGTCTTTCTTGCAAGCATGGCTAGCTAGGCTTAAATCATTATTTCACAATGCTGTGAGCATAACTGAAAAAAATTTCATTGTGAAAGGATATGGCTAATTTTCTTTTTAAAAATCCATTTTCTTATGTTTTATCTTTTATATCTATGATTTCCCTTCTTCAGTTTTGAAAATAATGTAGCCGTCCATGGAATATATTGAGACAGGTGCATGGCAGAATTTAAAGCTGCATGTAGCATGGCTTAACTTCTAATGCTTTTGTGATGTGTTTACCTCTAATTGTAACTAGAATGTGAATTTATGTTTTAAAATAAGGAAATGCTTTAGAAAGATTCCTTTTAAGTCAATTTTTTGTTGTATAAGTCTGAAAAATTTTTTATGGCATTGTGGAATTCAAATCTGTTTTTCATCTGACTATTGTCAGAAAGTGAGTAAAATCAAGTAATAAAGGATTATTTTCTTAGCACTAGTCCTGTACTATTTTCTTGATTCACTAATTAAAAGTAAGAAAATATAAAAATAAGAAGATATTAAAGAAACAATCTTGGGACATATAAATAAGAATTATTAAAGGCTTTTCTTTTGGACAGTGTTGACATATAACCCCTTAATTTATGTAATTTCTCAAATACAGATGCACTTAATTTGAGGGTGATGGTTTTGGCAAAGTTAACAGATTCCACAGTAGTGACTAAATTCACAATTTGGAGAGATACATACAACTTCATTAAAACTAAGAGAAAATTATAGAGTTCTCTAAAATTAGGTCTCAGTTGCTTTCATAATTCAGAGAAAATACAGTATTTAATCACTCTATTAAAGAAAAATATCTCTAAAAACCATAAAGCTGGTGGTGTACACATCTACATACCTAGTTATCACTCTTGATTATCAGACCATCAATGAGAATTTAAAATAATCTTGGATAAAAGTTGGCAACATTTAATATTTGATGCACTGGTGGGGTCCTTTGGCCTGGCCTGCAGAGATTGGGCCAAAACCAGCAGTCTGACATCCCCTGAGGGCTCCCGGATTGTGAGAGGGTGCAGGCCAGGCCAAGGGACCCCACTGGTGCACAAATCTGTGCACCGGGACTCTAGTATAAATATAATTTACTTCTGTGGATGATTCTCACATTTATTCAGCTAAAAAATTTTTATATTTTATGCTGAGGTAGGATAGTGAATGATTTAATAAATGTTAAAGGGGAGTTCCTTCTTCTTTCCCTGAAAGATTCCATGGACAACAGCCAAAATGGGCGTTAGGGGACCCATTAAAGTGCTTGGGTACCACCAAAGAACACTGAATTCTAAATATACTTATATTCCATAATGAAAGATGCCATGTCATGATGTTCTGTAACTTCTAAATCATCATTTCAAATATTTTTATTTAACATTTAAAATTCAATGAGGGAAACTTTTCATGGAATATAACTAATAAATTACATAAACAATAATTAATATTTTATGATCCAGAGGTCTCTTTATAAATTAATAAAGGAGTAATGAAATTTATTTATATTTGCAGGTATACTCTTTATTGCTCCAAAATAAGTATGTGGTACCTCCTAAAGACTATGTGTGGCAAATAGAATATAGCAACCTACTCAGTGCTATACTAGTACATACATGTTAAAGAAGAAAGATGAGCATATGTAAAATAAGGACAAGAAGCTAAAATACAGTCAAATGATAAGTTAATGAAAAGTGTGTTGACACATTCTCATATAGAGGTTGATTACAAACGCATTTCCTAGCATCCAACATAAAGAGAAATCTATTTAGATATAGATATCAATTCTACATGATATTTCCCCCATATATTTTTAAAAATGCACTCACAAAATCTATCACAGCCACCCCTTAAACTTTCTACTGCCGTGGCTTTTCTTACAACCAGAGTTCAGTGCTCTTGTTTGGTGCTTTGATACCTTTCTCCACTGAGGGAATCTAAGGCTCTAAAAGAGGTTGAGGCCTACAGAACTACATCTTATTGACTGTATAGTTATCACAATGTTATTTTTATTTAAAATAAGTAATTTTAGCAGCATAAGGAAAGTACAGATAACCATATACATAGTGCCCTAATCTGAGGCAAGATATCCTGCAACCTCAACTTTTCAGAGCATTAGGCAAATTCAGAAAATGGAGAAAACTTCTAACTTCTAATTTTCAGCCAACTGAAACATTGAACTATGCATAAAATAGCAATTCTCTTCCACCTTTTTCTGAAGGTAGAGTACATGTTGTCAATCACAAATTAAACATAATAAGAAAATCAAATTGTTTTGTAAAAAGCAGACAAGAACTGCGTATGCATATTAGAATAGGATAAAAAAAGACATTAATTTCTATATAAAGACAAAGAACCCAAGACAAAAATTAATTGTACCCTTTTAACAATAGTAAGACATCCAAATTCTCTGAGTTATTCATAATAATTATACCAAATTGGAAAGTTCTACTTATATGCCTTGAATATTCATTGAACTTTTGAAATGGTGCTCTCAATTCAATATTGAGCCTCCATAATTGTTGTGTAATTGATACCAAATGTTATTAAAAGATACCGAAAGTTAATTTAAAATGTTTAACCAATTTAGACTTTGGGTTAAATAACTTTAAAAACAGCCATCATTTTTTATAATATGCTGCAAAATAATTTCATCAACTGAAAATTGGTCTCTTTTCTAATTACAGTTTATATATCTGAACAACAATAAAGAAACTTTTATGCATGAAACTCAAAATAATAGCTTAATTGCTGCTATTTTTATTATAAAATGAAAATATATGAAATTATAATGTTTATAGTTATATTATTCGGTTGTTATACTGATATGTTTAGAGTGACAAAAATGGTTGAGCTTCTTTGGTCTCAATATTGACAAATTACACTTTATAAAATGTTAAAGACCTAACTTCTTAGTTAAGCTCAGTAAAAATATCATATAATCACAAAAACATAAACTGTTAAAGAATTTTAGTCTTCCTTTAACAATGATGTTCCATGGCATATGGGAGTTATTAATAACTAAGTGAACAACAGTTTAGGCTGCCCAATTAAATGTAGTGTTTTCATGGGTCATGAACATTTTATGTAGTTGTAAATATAATTATTTTTCTTTGGCCAGAGAATTTAATATTTCACTTTTAATAAGAAGAAACAGTGACCCTGTTAAAAAATGTAACTAAACTGCTACTATAGATTTGAGATACTTTTTATCTTAAAATTAGAGATAATATAAACAGAGAATGACTTTTAGAATTTATTTTTAATTGAAATTATATTAACGGTATTAATTATGTTACTACTAACACATTTGTGGGATAATTTCAAAAGTCTGGGGTAGATTTGATGATTGCTCCTTTTGGAGAGTTAATTCTCTCTGTGTTATTGTCATAGTCATCTCCACCAATACATTGTTTTCATTTGAAATTTGTAATATTATCTGTGGTTTGCAAAATTCATAATCAGTATTTGTAATAGTGAAGATCTGCTACTCTTCTTTGTTAATTAAAATTGGAATGAAATTATTTCCATTTACTTATTAGTGAAGTCATCTGAAACTCAATTAAAATAATTTGGAAGAAAAATTTAAATAATATTTAAAGAGACACCCAATTTCTAAGCATTGACTTGTATATTAACTTTAGTTTACTGTCAAGTTCTTGATTTTTGTTGCAATAACATTACTAACTCATTCATTCTTTATGTTAAAATAGTATACCAACTCATTATAATGTCTGAGGCATCCACTGTCATATTTGTTTATATTCAGTAGCTTCATGGTACTTTTGAGCCAAACTGTAACCTATTCTTATGCATGTATCTGTTACACTCTTTGTACATATACTTAATAGTTTTGAAGATATGGGTAATAGTACTGATTGCATGTCATTTATTTTAACATGTCATTTATTTTAACATGTCAGTGGCTCTCTTAGATATAATTTGCTATCTCCACATTAACATTGACATTATAAAATACTGACCCATTTTTTGTGTGTACTCTTGCCAGTAGGTTATAGGTCTAGTGCTAGAGAAAGTAAATCTACAACATTAACTGTGCCAGAACAGCAAAGAACAACTCATCACCGCTCACGCTCAGTATCTCCTCATCGCGGCGATGATCAGGGAAGGCCGCGTTCACGTTTACCAAATGTGCCATTACAGAGGTAGGCTTGGAGACGGGCTCCGTGTTCCTGACAGTACGTTTTTATTATAGCACTATAAACTACCACAGGCCTCTGTCTGAAATGAAATCATGGTTTGGGCAATCAAATCATTTTTTTTCAGTCAATTGTAGGCAAAATGCCTTTTTATTCATGGCCCAAAGTTTTATTCTTTCATCTCAACATTCTGTATTGTGCAACAGTCTGCTCATTAATCTCAAGAAATTTCTCAAGGAGTGGAAGAAGTTTATGTCCCAAGCACTGTTTTTGAATAATTATCTTGTATTCTGCTTGCCAGTTGTCTCTTCTGTTATGAGGAATCATGTGGTAATGAATGAGACCTGTGGAGAAAAGTGGCAAAGATAATGAGATTAAGAGGAATATATTTTTTTAGAAATTTAGGATTGTCTTTTTGAAGTACATTAAGTACTTGGAAAAGTGTATAAGTTACAAGTGATATATTGCTTTATTTCCTCTGACCCTGACTGAAATTTTAATCAAGTAAGCAGATAAAATTATGGGCCTTTTTGATAGAATTGCAAAAGAAGGTTGGAAAAACAGAGCATTCATAGAGAAGAAGTGTCTTTATAAGTCACTGATGAAATAGTTATTTGGTTATGATCCCAGTGCTTTTCTAGCTATGTCAGTTGTTTGCCAATTATTGTCAATTCTTCCCTGTTAGTCTGCCTGCCTGATTTGGGAAGATGATCCACTTTGATGCATATGGATTCTTTGTAATCATTTTAGGAGTTTAGATGAAATTCATCCAACAAGAAGGTCACGTTCTCCAACCAGACACCATGATGCCTCTAGAAGTCCAGTTGATCACAGATCCAGAGATGTGGATAGTCAGTATTTATCTGAACAAGACAGGTATTTGTTTAAATTATAATCTCAACATTATACATTTTTTGCTCTGTTTTAATGTATGGTTGATATCTTGGAATAGTACATTAGAGAGTAAAAGTAATTCATCACTCAAAATTGAACTTTTCTCACTTGGCTAATATTAGATTGTCATAATATAGGCAATTTTTTTTAAAAAAAATGTTATGTTTAGCTATTTTCTAATGTACCATTTATTGTTGATTTAGCCTAGATCATAGAAGTGAGCCCACAAAAGCAATCTTCAAATATTTTATGTTTTGTTGATTGTAGCCTTTGGGTTGTTTTTATGTAATTATAAAATTATGTATTTTATATTATTAAAATTTTTAGATGCGGTCATCTGAAAGATAACATTGCAGAGTTTCTGTGAGGACATCAATAATAATATTTTTATATACCTACTTTTTATAAAATATATTTCCATAAAATGTCTATAAAGTAGAAAATATTGAGGTGGATTCTTATGAAAAAATATATCCTGGACATAATTACTAAAAATCTGCATTGTGACTCTACATACCCACAGACTTACTTTCCAAACTGACCATACCTGTAATAATATGCCTGACCACAAGCTCAGGATATGATTTAAGGTTTTATAATACCCACATTTTTGAATATTCTCTTCTGTCTTTTTGAATTGGAGAAACTTTCAGGGAGAAGTAGGGGAATGATAGCAATGCTAAATGGTTGATTTGTTTGCCATGTAATCAAGGATACAGAACTCAGGTAGAGCTTCTTACCTCCCTGATTGTCACCCCACTGTGGGAAGAGGTGCATGACCTTCAGAGGGAGAAGCTATATTGGCTACTGGGACAGGAGCTGCTCTGAGGAATAGGATTCCACACTGCTCAGCTTGAGTTGGGTTGAGTTGAATGAGAGCCTCTTTGTCTACAATCACTGAGACCACCATGAATTTAGGTGAGGAGGGAGAAAAAGGACTTCTTGCCCAGGGCATTCAATAGAGTTGAAGTAACTTGAATGTATAAAGTATCAAGTTTAAAATGTAATAGTCCTATTTTAATATACTCTTGGTTTGCTAAGGCAAAACATAATATTTAATATTGTATTTTCAGTGGCTATAAAAGCCAACAAAACTATCATGATTTAAGTTGCTTAAAAGAAATAAAAAAAAAATTAGGGTTCCCATTATTATGAGAAAGGCCAAGTTTATAGGCCTTTCAAAAGTTATTAAAATAATCCAAATGTCTAGAATTGGACATAAGATTTCTATGTCTTATTTGAGGAAGGCTTGGTTTTGTTTTGTTTTTATATTCTGTAAGATCACTTTGAAATACAATTGCAAATCAGCAACAGCTAGGACTTTGACCATAATGTTTGTACTTTATTGTTTAAATTTTTAAAAATACTGTCATGTTTTGTTTAACTTCTCAAGCAAGTATGCTAGTGCAGACAATCTGGTTTCTTCCCTTTTCATGTTTTCATCGGCATACCATTGGCATATCCCATGTCATTTAATGCCTCATAATTTATCTGTTTCACTCACCACCCATCCTGTCTGTGCAGTGAGCTTCTTATGCTGCCCAGAGCAAAACGAGGACGAAGTGCAGAATGCCTACATACTACCAGGTAAATACAGGGATTTGGTAATGCTAACTGTGTGTGATGACTCTCTTTCCATTCTACTATTCTTCTGTCTTTTCCCTAGTGGTATATAACATTATTTTCCCAGGTATTCAAAATTTGTTTCGTTTTATATGGAGGTTGTGGAAAAACTTCCAAATATATTTTAATTCTGATTCAGGCAGTCGACTTTTCTATTTGTAGACTCAAAAATACAGAGTCTGGTGAGCCTCTGCAGAACTGTTTACACATTCCTTAAACTGAAGAACCAGTTTCTGCAATTAAAATCCTAGTGCTCACGGTGCGCAGCCCCACCCCAACACACGCACCTGTCTAGTCACCAGAGGTCTGATCTACTGTGCATGGCACTGTTACTGTTTTCATGATTATAAGTTTGCTTTTTCTTTTAGCCTTTTTGGATTTCCTTTTAAACAATCTACTATTGTTATTTTGTTTGCCGGTAATGAAAGCTTTACCAGTTTATTTTTATTTTTTGTGTAATTTTTCTATTTTTGTGATTTATGTGCACTTTGAGAAAAATTGATTGTGTTGATTGTTTACAGTTTTTAATTGCTGAGCTTCAACTTCCTTCATGATAAAGAGAGGATACCTGACTTGCTAAACAAGGAAAATAACCTTTATTTAGTATCAAGCACAGTGTTAAGTATTTAATGTACTTTATCTCAATTCCCTGACAGAAACTATGTGATATTATTATTGTCATTTACAGATAAGGAAAGATGATAAGAAAGTTCAATTTGATAAGGAACAGAGCAAGAATTCAAAAACAGGTCTATTCAACATTTTCCACTAAACTAGTTTTTCCAAAAATATGTTCTGAGAAATTAGTCCTGTGTGATGTTCCACTAATAAAAGTGTTTTACTCAGACAGATTTTGGAAACATTGCAAATTAAAGCCCCTCCCTGGAGATTTAATATGCGCAGTACATTAAAGTCATGTACTAAAGAAATTTCTCATTGTTTAAGCCATTCTTCCTTACATCACTTAACCATCAAACTCTTTTTCATAAAATATATCCTCAGAAAGTAATGCTGAGCAGAAAATACTGTGTATGCCTGACTGTACTAGATACTTTATACCTGTTATCTCATTTAATTCTCACAGCGTCCCGTAGAAAAAGGCTTAACCACTTGACCTGAATTACCCAGGTTAACAGCCAATAAGTGGCAAAGCCATGGCGGTAACTTAGACCTTTATACTGTAAATTGTATGCTATTTTCCATTCATTGTCCCATCCTATGCTGATCCCTGTTCCTGAAAAAATGACTTTTGAATCAATTGATTAGAAGTTATATAGCATCCTGTTACTAAGGATAGCTGCCTAAGGTTAGGAGTTGAAGACTATTGTCTGTAAAGAGACAGAATTGTTAGTTCCAGTAAAATTTGTCTTCAGTTTGTGATCAAACATTGTACTCGAATACATTTTTAAACTGAAGCTTTAAGAGTTTTCCTTGGATTCAACCATTAGTATACACATGGCTAAACCAGTGGGGTATTTGATGTTATGATATGCTCAGCAAATGTTATTCCCTTCTCTATTATCATACTTTAATGTAATCCAAAATGGACTTTCACAGTGAGCAATTTATTAAATTATCAAAAAATTAATTGATTAACAACCTAGTTTGCTCTTGGTGGTATAGATAGTTCAGAAGCCCTCATTGATTTTAAAGGAATTCAGATAAAGTTTGGCCTTGTTTTGGTCATTTTTTGCTGCATGAGATTTCATATTCTGATTTGCATCTAATGCCCATCCACCCAATTTCCAATTATAGATTATACCTATGGTCAGGTTTAGATCTAGAAGCTTATAATGAAATAACTTGCTTCACTAGAGTAGCTTCTTGATCTTTTGCCATTTCCTTTCGTAACCTAATTGAGTACCATGATCAACCTCGTCCCTGAAACGTTGGTCAGTTATTGACTTACTAGAATATTAACTCTTAGTCATATTTTAATTCCTAGATTACATAAATTATTTGGCTAGTACTTTGAGCTACGAGTTGTTTACTTCCATGGAAGCAGGTATAATATTAAATCAATAATTACATAGTAAGTGTAAATATTGGTAACTCATATAGAGTAGTTAGCAGATTTTCTCAAATTAAAGGAATTAAATTATAATTCTGAGTTATCTTAATTATGAAGACAGAGTCTATGATTCCATATTTTAATTATTCTATTCCCACCTTCAACTAAGTATTTTGCTTATTTTGAGAAAAAAATCAACAGCAAAATATCCATCAATGTTTGTAGCTTTATAGGCCACCTACATTCTTCATATCCTAGTAAAATTGGCTTCGTATATATCTTTCTGTTTCCTGCATGTTTGTGTGGCCATGTTCCAGACATCTTGTTGGGCATTATAAAACCTTACCACCCAAGATGCCTTTATTACAGAATAGTTCTCACTGGGATAGTTACAGTAAGAATCATAACAGTGAGTCCCAGTTACAAACGAATCCTTTGCCTATTAAAGACAGCAAATTTACATTCTAATAAAGCATTACCACTTTCCTTGAAATTAATTATACACAGAGAAACATTCAATTAATGGTATCTAAAATAGTTTTAATTATAAAACATGAATTCTAGATTCCTCTAAATGAAGTCCTACTCAAATGTCAGAATTCTAGTTGTCTTCTTTGTCATTTATTTCTTGTTTTACCTGTTGATTTTAGTTATAACAATTAATTTCATATTATTTTATTTTTGGATGATTTTAATTTGTGAAGCTCAGTTCTGCCTGCACATACTCAAACCAAATCAGTGATTAGACAGGACTTTCCCCTTCATCGTTTCTGTTTTAACGCAAAAGTATTGAGATTTACTGATGAAATATTGGTTAGGTAAGAACATGTGGAAGACTTAACTTCCACTTCCCTTGTCTAGTGTTGTGAACCAAAATAGCTGAGTTGTAAAATTTTTCTCCTCTGATGTCCTTCATTTTGTTTTGGTGTGGCATCTGTTCTTGGTAATGAAGTTTTAGGCATTTTGTTGTAGTGCTTTTTGTATCCAGTTTTGTTTTTTTGTTTTTTGGTTTTTTGTTTTTTTTTTTTTTGTGTGTGTGTGTGTGTGTGTGTGTGTTTCATAAGCAGGTGTGATTTGGTTTCATTTTTCAGTCTGAGACCCTTTTTAAAAAAATTATGCAAAGCAATTCAAGCATAATCTTTGTTTAGTTTCATTTTCTAAACAAAATTTTGCACCGTCATCCTGTCAGCTCTTTCACACCCTTGTGAACTGAATCATGGTGATTCTACATTTTATGTAAAGGGGACATTATTTTATGCTTTACTCTCTAACATGGTCTTCCTTTCTTTGTTTTCTTTGTCTTTCTCTTCTACCATTGGATGCAATGCACTGGCACTAGTGAACTGCAGCCCTCCCTTGACAGGGCTAGGAGTGCTAGTACCAACTGCTTGAGACCAGATACTAGTTTGCATTCACCAGAACGAGAAAGGTATAAAATGAAGACTTTCTTAATTTTCTATCATTTGTACTAGTGATTTTTTTTTTCTAATCACTTTGTTTTGTCTCATGTGAGTCTTGCAGGTTTATTCATTCATGTTCACTTTGCTAATTGTCTACATGTTTCCCTCCCTTACTGTACACGTCTGTGGAGAGATATGTGTATGTGGGTAAACACAAGGGCCCATATACACATATTTCCATGAATGTCGTTGCAAATGGTGTGGCGTAATTTGGAGCTGCTTCTGGCTGCCGCTTTTCCCCTTCTGTTGCTGGTTAGTTGTTTTATTTACATACGACTCAGGGAGCCTTCAGTATGCTGATAATGTGATAAGGTCCAGTGAGTTATCTGAAGGGGAGGATCATTTTTCTATTAGTCCAACTGATAAATAGTATTTATAGGTTCAACAACAATCTTCTGTAACCTAAAAATAAGAAACCTATGTAGATAGAATCCTTCCCCTGTGCATCTATGTTCACTTTTTAGCCAATCTGCTCTTTGATATAGAACAAGTTTTGCATTAAATTATATTTTAATAACAAAAACATGGTGTTTATCATAGATTTTCTGATTTCTTAAAAAATAAATACATAAAAAATATATGTATGCATATGTAAACACACAATTTTGCTTAAAACTATTAATTGATTAGTAAATGATTCTAATTTTAAACTAGATGTATTCAGTGATTGTTACACTGCATCCTAATTGTGAGCAGCTAATATTCCCATTATGATGGAACTTTCTGTCCCAGTAAACTTGGTTATAAATGATAGTCTTGGTTATACTTGTTACCTGTTTTCAATTAGAAGTTACCCAGTGGAAATTTGCATACTAAGTTTACAAATCTTGCAGAAAAATATTTAGTCATGCTAATGTAACCCCCTTCTTCTTCAGAGACTGCTTAAAGCTTTTCTTTAGCAATATAACTGGTCATATTCTATTCACTGATTTATCATATGTTTATTTATACAATGGAATGATAGGTACAAGTTACATACTCATTTTTTAGTGTCCTCGTAAGATTCCACTAAAAATCCATTTATTTTGTATTCTTTATATTTGTAAAATTTGTAATATGAAAAATAAAATTAACTATATTTTGTATTATTTTTACATCTGTAGTAGAATTTTAGTTGAAATAACTATATACTGACTCTTCCAAAAGCACAATAAATAGTATTTTATTTTATTTTGTTACAGATTAACTCCAAAAATAAATACAATACTAGTGCGGAAAAAATTTTTTAGTTCTTATTACTTCCTTGTATGTTTCTAAACATACAAGGAAGTTATATGTTTAGTACTAAACAAGGGCATAAATAGCTGAAGTCAGTGGACTCTTCTGACTATAGCACCACTCTAACATTTCTGATACCATCTATGTCAGTGTTATCGAATAGAAATATAATACAAACCACATGTGTAATTTAAAATTTTCTAATTGCCTTATTGAGATTATTTAAAATTAAATTATTTAATGCTTCAATTAACCCAGTATGCCTGAAATATTATCATTTTAACATGTATTCAATTAAACACCATTCGTGAGATATTTTACCTTTCTTTCTTCCTTTCTTTCTTTCTCTCTCTCTCTCTCTCTCTTACTCTCTTTCTCTCTCTCTCTCTCTTACTCTCTTTCTCTCTCTTTCTTTCTTTCTTTCTTTCTTTCTTTCTTTCTTTCTTTCTTTCTTTCTTTCTTTCTTTCTTTCTTACAATAGCCACATGTGGTTTGTGGCTGCCATATTGGACAGCACAAGTCTGTTTTCGTACTGAAGATTATCTGGCATGTGTTCCCTTGCGACACTGAAGCCACAGAGTTCACAAATCAGTCTCTCAGACTATACCCTTGAAACAGCTCAACCTGTAGAAAAATAACCTGGCCCCAGTTAACATGGTCAGGTCATCATGAAGGTCAAGTCATCATGAAGTGAGAATACTTACATTTGATAGAAAAACAAAAATGTGATTGAAAACCTATATTCATTCTATACATCAAATAAAAATAAATTTGTTATTAAAAAATGAAAGGGGGCAGGGAGTGATATTATCAATGATTTTTAATTTATTTTGGTTACTTTGTTGCCAAGAAGGAAATAAAGTGAGATGTTTTCATAAAATCATAGAAGGTATAGATGCTTATTGGTTTGAAGGATATGGACCTCAAGTGCCCTTTTGTGCCCACACCTATAAGCAGATTTGAAGCAGTACATAACAATATCAACAGTGGTGACATTTTTCTCTTTGGAAAATGTACCTAAAGTCCCCAGACAGGATGTGCAGAGAGTATGAACAGGGAGGCTTAGACTCTAAGCCTTAGAGCAGCGGTTCTCAATCTGTGGGTCGCGACCCCTTTGGTGGTTGAATGACCCTTTCACAGGGGTCGCCTCACACCATCCTGCATATCAGATATTTACATTACGATTCATAACAGTAGCAACATTACAGTTATGAAGTAGCAACGAAAATAATTTTATGGTTGGTTCACAACATGAGGAACTGTATTTAAAGGGCCAGACGTTGAGAACCACTGCTAGAGGGTTCTCCAGGTTACTTAATTTCTCTGATTGAACAGAAAGTTTCTTATGTCAATGTCTAATATATGCATAGTGGATAAAATGTTAGAGAAAATATGTTTTTGTTTTTTTTTAAATATATTTTATTGATGTTTTACAGAGAGGAAGGGAGATAGAGAGTTAGAAACATCGATGAGAGAGAAACATCGATCAGCTGCCTCCTGCACATCTCCTCCTGGGGATGTGCCCGCAACCAAGGTACATGCCCTTGACCGGAATCGAACCTGGGACCTTTCAGTCTGCAGGCCAACGCTCTATCCATTGAGCCAAACCGGTTTCGGCGAGAAAATATGTTTAAAACCTAATTTCATATTCTTAAAATAACATATTTCCATAACCTTGTGAACTATTAAGTTAAACATTGGCTGATCTGACTTTAAGCCATTTTGATGAATATTTATACACTGTTATACCAACTTAACACTCTTTTTGAAGTGTCCTCACTAACTTTGAAAACAAATGAAGTTTTGTGTTAATACAAAGGATGAAATTGTCAAATCAGACTTAATGCCCAACGGCATACTCTGCTAATGATTCAAAGTGAAGGGACACCAGGCACAGTTGGCATATTCTTTTTCAGAGGAGTCCAAAACTTTCATATCCACCTTTTCTCCCTTGTTAGGTTGGTGTGGCCCTGGTTAACAGATGCATTTCGAATAATGTGTGTAGAAGCACTGTTTCCGTTTTTGAGTGCCTCCATTTTATACTCTGTTGAGTACACAAATAACAAAATTACTGTGGATTATCCCATTCCTCAATTCAATCATGACCCATAAATCAAGAAATGTTGATTTTATTTACCATAAAAGATCTAGAAAGACTAGTTATATCCTACTGAAGACTTATAATAAGTAAGGACACTCCTTTATCTTTTCACTAGCAAATAACACTGCATGTTTACAAGGTCTGGTCCCTGTTTTTCCCTTTTATCTTTATCAAGGTCTGTCTGAGGTCGTTCATTCTCCCTTTTTCCCTGATTGGGAAGGAGTAAGTTACTGGTGTGTATTAACCTTTCCCAGGTTTTGAAACAAATCACTGCTTAAGTGTCCAGGGACACTGATTTTTGGAGTCACTGGAGAACAGTTACATTTCTCAGATATTTCATTTTCTTCCTTGATTTTTCATAAAAACCTTACTGAAGGCTCATCAAAGGGTAGTCTATATTTACCACCTCCCTTTTTTACCTCCCAGTAATCCTGCAGTCTGACTCCTGCCCCTTCCCCCTCAGCCAGTGTGCTGAAATTCCTCTCTAGATTATATCTGCTTCTTAGTTGTCCAGCAGCATCTTGCAGCACCACCCTGTCATTTGAACCTCTCCTCTCATTAAGCACCCTCAACAGATTTTTGTATGCCTCTGTTTTAGCACAGTCTACTTTTGCAAGTATCTCCTCCTCTCCTATCTTATAAAGTTATGTATTTTTTTAGCTCCATCCTCAGTTTTTCTCTTTTGTCCCAGTAATTCTGTCCTTGATGTTATATTTCTATTAAAAGTTTCCACTCCAGTGCTATGAAGATAATACCCCCCTGCCATTGGCCAGGCCAGCCCTTTCCCTTGAGTATTAGGCCTAAATTGATAAATGGTTGCCCGACCCTGTGTATGCCAAAGTTTAAATCAAATTCCTTATCTCCTCTCACATTTTTTCATAGAAAAATGTTAACTCTTTCTAAAATTTTCTCACATCTGATAGTCTTGACTTGTCACTAGCCACAGAATCTGGAAATACTTCTGCTCCTCATTCGCATCAGAGTCATTGAATTCTACAAATTCCCTTGAAAATACTCAAAACAGAACTACACTTAGATCACATTACAGCCCATCTCCAGTTCCACTGTCACTCTTGATTTCATTAAATTTCCTCCTAAGCTCTATTAATAATTTGTATTAATTTTTGTCTCACTAGTTTTATTTCCATTAAAATTAAAATGCCCCATTTCCTTTGTTATCCACTTAAAAATTCCACTCATTCTTTACAAATGCAAGTCAAATAACCAAATATTTTATAAAACCTTTATTAACACTATACCTCCCCCAGGACTAAAATGAATCATGGGAATCATTTGTTCAGATTTGGTTTCTAATATCATAATAGTTCACAGATATTTTGTTTGTGCTATTTATGAAATGACTGATTCATATTTCCATGTAATTTCTCTTTTAGATAATGAAGTTGCTTGGCCATGTTCTGCCAAGATATATGCACTGTTGAAAGATGTGTGCATATGAAAGTGTGTATATTAACTACACACTTAAATGCATACACATTTGTTTTTAAGGTATATCAGTGGTGGGGGAAAAGCCACAATATGAGAACCATTTAATTGCTTACCGAGGCCTGTCAATTCTAATTCTTTTATATCTCATCAGTGGGTCCCCTCTCTACTATTTATTTCTTAGTTAGGGTTTTCATTATTTCTTACCTGTATTACCACAAAACCTAGAGCCTTATCTCCTTATTATCTACTTAAATATTTATAAGTACTTATTGATTACATATTCTGTGCTATGCATAATTGATGTGCCTCTTAAAACAAAGCACAACACAACACTATAGTGCCTTATTTAAGGAGCTCACAGCCTTTTAATTCAGTCCCATAGACATCAAGGTAATCTTTTTTTATTTGGGGTCCAGTGAAAAGGATGGGCTCCCAACAAGGTAGATGTTCATGAATTAATGAATTTAGAATGCCTGATATTAAAGTAGTAATAATGTAACTTACAGGCAAGCTGTTCAGGAAAGAGAAATCGAGAAGAGGTGGTTTAGTTCAGCTTCATGATTAGTAACTGCAACATAGCCTGCCATGTTTGGAGCTGTGTGTGTGGCTCACGTACAGGGGACAAAGATTTTGATTTTGATCCTTTTCTTTAGTGTGATAGAAGGAAAGGATAAGGAAGTTGCATATATTTTAAAAGCATATAAAACATTCTAGCCTATCTGCAGCTCACAAATGTAAGATACTAAAATGTATGTAATATCTATTATTTGGGGGGAAAATTAGGTATAAATTGATTCAACTCCCTTGATATAAAATATATAAGGGAAAAGCAAAGACAGTTCTTATATTGGTACTACCTATCAGCATATTCAGAAGGACTTTGAGTGTACAAATATACATGAAGTATGCTAAATATTTCTTCAAAAAAATTACCTGTTAATGGCTTGCATTCACAATTGCTTGTTTCTAAGTGTAACCTTTTTCCTTCATAGCTTTCACTGCATGTTCAATAATTACAGCATTTTTCTTTACTTTTGTGTTCAAAAAAAAAAAACAACACAGGGACTGGAATTTTGCCTCAGGAAGCAAGGTTATTCATAATCCTGTTGAATTAATATTCATTATTACTTTACAAAAATACATAACTATTTTTGTGTTTTCAATAATACCATAAGTTTTAACACAACTGAATACAGCAATGTAGAAACACTACAGTTGTAATTGTTTTCACTTATTTGAGAAATATTTTTCTTTTTTGTATTTGGAGAAGAAAAGCCAGTAAAGTAAAAAGATACATTTTAAAGCATTCATATTGGATTGACCAATTATTTAAATAATTATGTAATTTAAAATTAATGTCAAATGTTTTTAATGCTACAAACATATAACACATTTAAAAATGCATGCAACACAGTTTTCCCTTCTGTCCAAATTCTGCTGTTTAATATCTTTATTTGCTTCACAGCTTCCTCAAAGCCCTGCTTAAGTCAGGCCGAGTCTGTCTACCTAGAGCTGATGGATTAGGCACAGGCTACCAAGGGGCTTTCCGAATTAAATACCTGCTGACCTCAGATATCCTGATCCCATGTTAGCAGCCCTTTGCTGATTTTGTCCAAATTGTCTAATACACCCAATTAGCCAAGTTATTAAAAAAAGGCTGGATTTCTTTTTGAAACATTAGGGCTAGTCTACTTTGGATAGTTAAAAAATCTTATAGATAGATGAGTCCTTAAAGATCATTTCGTTATCCCTTGTTGCATATGAAGAAGCCAATATATGGAGAAATTATCCTGTTCCAATGTGTTTATATCTGATATACAAAATTTTCCAAATCTGGCCTGTTCAGTCCCTGATTGCCACTTTCAAGTTTTTGACCAGCGGCTTCTAATTTGTTATACACAGGCAGAATATCAAAATAGTTTAACAAAGGAATGAACCAAGTTTCAAATACTTGTCTATATGTTAATCACAAAAAAGTGTATTATTATAAATGCTGAAATTAAAAAAAAAAGACAACTGTTTAACCAATGGAGAACTACTTTTGCAAGTAAAGATTACACTTCTTATTAAAGGTAATGCTATTTTAGGATGGTGCCTATCTGTATTTCTCGTTTTTATTCATCAGTAATTTTTAAATTTCATAATTTTTAAATTTCAGCAATTAGTACTGCAGTTTTCCCCAAGAAAACTTGTTAAGACTTCACTGCTAGCATCCACACAAATGATTTCTTCATGCCATTGTTTACACACTAGAGAACATTTTGATTTCTTCCACTTAAACTGTTTCTACTTTGTATTAAATCTATACACCTCACCTTTGCCACTTGATCCAGTAATCTCAAGGCCTAGTATCAAATAGGCACGGGTGGCTTATTAAACCTGTTTTATTCAAACATAAGGCAGATATTTAAAGATGCATCTTTTTTTAAATTTAAAGTTTCATACATATGTATGTGTGTATAGATAGGTATAAAAACACAAGTACATTTTAAAAGGACAAAATTACATTCAATAGATTTCAAATACCTTCACAAATAAATTGTTTTTTTATTCACTTAAAAGTTTTCAGATCTTATTTTCTTATAATATTATATTGCAATTTGTCTTTTCGAGGTTTGTAAAGGTGAAGAATAAATTATGGAGCAAAGAATCTACACTTTGCCTTTTTGGGGTGCTTTTCCAGTCCTACTGTTCCATATGTTCTTTTATTTTAGGAGTTACTAAATGTCCTGTTTTTTCCTGTCTTGTTCATTGGGCAAACAGGGGTAGATGGTCCCCCTCCCTAGATAGGAGACGACCTCCTAGTCCCAGGATTCAAATCCAGCATGCTTCTCCGGAGAATGACAGGTACTAGTCAACTCCTCCTCACAGACAAGTGGCTTCAAAAGGCTAGTAGGCTACACAGTGAAGGGTAACCAAGAGCAATGTGGGTTATGACATGCTTCCTTTCAGGGGCAAGAGCCAGACGTGCTGTGATTCCATCAATAGATGCATCCAGCTTTAATAAAGCACCTCAGAATTAGTGCAATGAGGGTAGCGTGCCCTGAAATGAATGGCAGTGTGCAAACACACAAAGTTGATTCCAGTGGAAGAGTTCTGTTTTAAGGATGAACATTTATTTCGTAGTTTTTGATTTCTAAAAACATATTTAACTATTGTTTTGTTTACATGTAAATAAATAAAAATTCTCAGGTGCTTTAAAATATGTTAAAAATCTGTCCGGACCTATTCTTTGTTATATTGATTGATGGTGTAGTCTCAGTTGTCTTGTTTTGTTACTACATAAGCTTGTTGTTAATAAAATACAGGCTTTGGGGTATATATAAAAATATCTGATTTAGAGTGGAACACCTTGTCGTTATATATAATATTGTGTTTTACACCAAATACTGCAACGGCTAGGGTCAGTCCACAAAGTAGTTTTTTTAAAAATAGCATCCGTGCTTTGAATCCACTTCATTCTGATATATCAGAAGTGCTGCAATATATATTTTTTATTGGTTTGTTAACCTCAATTGTAGTTAACTCAGTTCTCTTGTTTTATGGTGCTTGTTATATTTTAATATAGTTCTTGTCTTTAAATATCTTTCCTGACCAAGCCACAAGGGGTTATTTGGGTGTTTTGGATGCTTCTCTTTTGGTGTAAACAGAAATTCAACTAACACATTGGTGATTTTTATTAAGTAGATAGTGTATATGGTATCTCAGAATTAGAACAACTAGTCATGCCAGTGTACCAATTTCTTTTTTTTAAGTATGTGTGTCTAGAGCATAGTAATTGTGACCTTATTTAAGACTAATATCATTTATTTTATGTATCCATAGTACATATATCTTCAGGATTTCGACTTGAAAGAAACATTAAACACTGTCAGAACAAATTAATAAGTCATTTTACAAATGTTGGAAAAGATCACAAACTGCTATTTTATGAAGGCTTTCTAGATATTTTATCATTTCTTACTATTGCTTATATTTATATTTATATAATTTGTATTTAAAAGTTATTTCTTCTGCTGCTATCTGATTTATAGGATAAAATTTCTGGGACTAGAAAAATTAGTGAAATCTTTCATCTAAAAGTATTACAAATTTAAAGCCTTTCAAATAAGAATATAAAATAATTGTGTAAATCAAATAAAAATTTATATCCACATTGCTACTCACTCATTTAACAAGTACTCAATGTGCCTCTACTGTGTGCACTATTCTAATGGCTAAAGCCATAACAGTGTTAAAAGCCAAGGTCCTGGCCATCTAGAAACTTACAATTTCATTTTTTAAAAAGCAATTCTGGGAAGCCTTTTAATTATTCCAAAACAAGTGAGTCAGAGGATTTAATCTTATATAATAATCACTGTTTGAGTACAGGACAATTAAATATGATAGTTTTTGTAATGAACATAAATGTAAGTTTATCTGGGCCTTGTTTGAGCAAAATGGAAATCCAAATAATAGTTTTTAGTTCTTACATACATGAAAATTAGTTATCATTTAAAGACATATCAATTATCAATCATGTTATTTATTTCATAGATTGCATATATAACTTTAAGGATAGATGTTAGGTTCAGAAATATCCCTTTTAGATAAGATTTTAAAGGAAATTCTTACTAATAATTATGAATATATACTTTCCACTTTTATTATGACTTTTTTATGGAGAAATTCTTTGTTCGACAAAAGTATATTTCAAATACCTTGATACTATTATTTATTACTGTAGGGAACAGAAAATTATTTGCAATAAGTTTTTATTGTAGATTTCATGTGACCATAAAAATGAGAAATTATTTCATCAACAAATGCTAAATTATGAGGGTAACTATGTCAACCACTTGGAAAACTTAACACTTGCATTTCACCTCTTATCAGTTTATTTACTCATTCAGAAGTTTCTACCATTTTGCAAACGAAGTGAACATGGCATCATATTTGAAGATAGTGAATATAGATAAGATGACTTTTGTCCTGGGTAGCTGGAAAATATTCTAAAATCAGTGACAACTCATATAATCAGCCTTTGGATATCCTGAATTAGGGCCATTATTGATAATTTTGAAAATAATAGATAATTTTTAAAAGTAAACTTTTGCTTAAGAGAGTTTTCTAGTAAATTGGAAAGCATTTAGTTGACCTCTTATTTCTCATCGTATGCAAACACTCACAATTTGTAATTTCTCAGTAATTGAATTTCACCAGTAACCAATCTTGATGTCATCTGAAGTTGTTCAATAAATTTGTTTTGAATTAACAGGGAAGTATTTTTATCTACACTTGATCTTAGCCAAAAGGCTGAGAAGCGATAGGGAAGTATTTTTATCTAAATATAGGAACAATTTCTTAAAGTTATAGAATACTTACAATAATAATGAGAAAAAAGTAGAAATTTGTAGCCTCAGGGAATGTTCTGACTTTAAAAATGTAGTGAAAATTTTCTTGCAGCTTTGTTACTAAAAATGTTGAGACTTTTAAGAATATCATTCCAATGACAAAGTATCTCTTTGTAAATGATATTATTTTAATATATAAATTGTAACTTCTGTCAACCTGTATGTAAATAACTTTATGAATCATAATAAAATGTCAGTATACTTGTGGCTTCGGATTAACCACAATTTGTGAGTAGCAAGTTAGAAAAAATGTATTTTAATACATTTAAAATTAAATGTCTGGAATGATAAAAAAAGATAAATGATATTAAATGATAAAAAAATTTTAATAAAACAAAAGCATGATAAAACTCAAAATAAGAAAATATGATGGAAACAGTATAACTCTGTTTCATTCACTTCTGTTCAGGGATTCCTTCAGTAAACATTAATAATTCAAAGTCACTGGATGGTAGAGTGGGCAGAGAACCTAAGCACATGGGGATATGATGGTAGTGTCCTCACCAACTAATTACCTTAAACTTTCTAGGGCTTAGTTTTCCCTTCTGTAAACTTAGATACTTGTAGAGGGACTCGCTGAAGTCTAATTGAGACACTAGTTAGACTATAAAATTGATTCTATGTTCCTTGTTGAATCATGAGAAACATACATTGGTCCAGTAATAATGGCCGACACTTCAGTATGCATAAGGCAGTAACCAGAGAGCAGTTCTTCTTTGTGGTATTTTATAATACACTGAAGCTCAGTAAACAGTGCAAAGTTTTATTTCTAAATTTATTTGATGTAAACTGAGTTTTATAGCCTAGTTAGGGTGCTTTTTTTTAACTTATTTTAACTTTTTAGACTCTCAAATTCTAGTATAGTACTCCAAATATTACTGTTTTTAACCATCCACTCAACAAATAGTTGTTAAACAGCTACTATGTGCTCGGTATTGATGTTACAATAATAACCAGACACAGTTCCTAACCACAAGGAACTTAGAAGGACTAGTTTAAGGTAGGAGGCAGTTTATTTCACTGTGATGTATTTTATGATTACATGAATAGTTTCAATACTATAATACATAAATATAGGTTGATTTTTTCCTAACCTTTCCTCATTTACATAGCACAAGCTTTTATTTATCTCTAGAAAGAGTTGTGTTTCAAGCATACAATATATACTCAGGTATAACATAGGATTCAGGGTAGAAAATACATTAGAATTTTTAAATTTTTTTCTCTATTCTCACTTTTTACTGAATTATCACAATTAAGTGTATATCATTTTCACTCAATTTGAAGATTCTTCCAAGTAGTTAGAAGAATTATAAAGACATATCCTTTGTAGAAAATTTTAGAAGAATATTCAATAAAATAAGTTTCTGTGGCATTTGCAGATTTTTTAAAAAGGACAAGAAGGTTAAAAACGAAAAACAATTAAAAAGTTAGATGTATGAACTTCTGAATATTTATCACCCAGTTATGAAGCATTGACTTTGATTTAATATGTTTAAAGCACTTACTCCTTGCTGTTCTAAGCAGTGCTATCACTACCACAAATCCTTGTTCTACATCATAGTACGAAACTATCATTACTGAAATACAAATACCACATAATATTGATATGTTTAAAATTAGCAAACCCGTGAGATGGTAGTATTATTATTGCCACTTTGCAGTGGGGAAAAACATTAATAGAGAGGTTTAAGTAACTTGACTAAAATTACCCTGCTAGACAGAGATAGCACTGAGATTAAACTGAGACAGTCTGACCCAGCATCACAGCTTCTAGTTACTACATTCCGGTGTTGTTTATGTCACAGATGAAATGTGCTTACTGATAGTATTATTACGGACCCAGTTCATTTCATGGTTTGACATGTAATAGCTATGTGGGTTAGAGCAAATTTTTTAATCTCTCTCAGCCTCAATCTCCTATTCTTAAAAAAAAAAAAGATAGAAGAGTAGTACCTATCTGGCTGGATTGGTGTGATTAGATGAGACAATGCAGGTACACTGATCATGCTAACATGCAGCAAGTGTTAGATATTAAAGCCATCAGCATCGTTGCCATCAGCATCATCAATTCCTGTGATGATCAATCTAATATATAAATCATTAAGTTTTAGGAGATGAGAAGAGGAAGAGTTGAGAGTTTTACAGAGGAAGTAAACTCTCACTGAGTCTAGAAAGATTCATAGAAATTACTAGGGGTGGGAGGAAAAGCAGACAAGTTCTAAAATATGCCTGTGTTTTGTTGGGCAATGTTAGAAAGTTTGTACAATGGCTACCAGATTCGCTACATCCCTAGCTCCCCACACCCCAGACTATTGTCATCTGATGCTCCTCTTTTAACACTTTCCTTCCTGGTCTCCTTACTGTGGCTTGAACATACCAGGCACAAAACTGACTTTGGTCCTGTGTACTCGATGCTACCTTTGCCTGGGAAATGTTTTCCCTGGATATATACATGGCTAACTCCCTCACCTTATGTCTTTGTTAAAAATGCCACCAACTCAGTGAGTCCTTCCCTGAGCATCCTCCTTACTAGTAAAGTTGTGATGTGCAGCTGCCCCCACTCACTTCCCACACACATTTCTGACGCTTCTAGCCCTGGTTTACTTTTTGTTGCTTTAGCATGTATCATCTTCGAACAGACTGTATAGATTACTTGTTTGAGGGGTTTTGTTGTTGTTGCTTACTTGTCTTCTACCAATAAAATGCCAATTGGAAGAAATGAGCAGTCCCCAGAGGCCTCTGCACCCTGTGAAGGCAGACTTTGTACTTTGATATGTGTCCCTAGTGCCTAACAGGGCTTGGCATAATATATGTTTAACACTAAGGATATCTGGCATTAATAAGTAAGCAGAGTAAAGGGGAGAGAGTAGTCTTAAAAGTTCTCTTCACAGGAAAGACTTGTAACTTCGTGTGTTGATGGATGTTGACTGGACCTATTGTGGTGACCATTTTGCAATATATGCAAATATCAAATCACTTGTTGAACACCTAAGCTAATATAATGTTACATGTCAATTATATCTTTAAAAAAGACAAGCAGTTGCCTCCTTAACATTTTTTGAAAGGAAGGAATATTGGGAAATAAAAATAAGTATAAATCATAGGCAATCAATGATTGAGAAAAAATACAGTTTTATTTAATGGTTTCTTTTTTCTTTTCTTTTTTTGTTTTTGTATGCGAGTTTCTTCACCATGATATTTTATATTTATTTCAAATATATTGCAGTCCAGACACATTTTAGGTTAAGTAGGCATATGTAAGCTGCCTTTGGGAGATAAGCTTTATAATATAAACATTATTTCTTTGGGAAAATGCATTTGGAGTCCCAGATGTTCAGTGTACATATGTACTTTGGGGTCATGGAGTAAATTGGGAACATTATTAGTTCTTTGATTTGTGATGTGATTGGCTTTTTAAAATGTTATATAATTGCAAAAAAAGAGAGCTATATATAATTGCAAAGGCATCTTTATGATCATTTTAATAGTTAATTTAAAATACTCTGACTTATGTCAGACGTTTCGCTATAGCATTTTCTTCTCTTCATAATTCTGTGGGAGAAAAAAAAAACAAAGGAAACATCTTTGTAACACCAAGTTTCAACTTGTAAAATGAAGTCACTTCACCCCTTTGTGGTCTTTTAGCACCTAAACCATTGCTGTCATCACGTCTGTCATCACTGCATCCACCATTGGATTTGTTTACTCATTAGGGGAGGCACAGGTGCTCAGCAGGAGTCCCTGTTAAGCCATTACTGTTGACTTGCCCATCTAGACTAATGGAATGTCAGCTTGTTGTCTCCCGTTGGACAATTTGTGTCTTCCACACAGCACAAGTTCTGATTTTTATTTCATTTTAAAAAGTACTGACTGACAAAACCATTAGGTAAGATGGTTGCCATTTTTCATGCCTGTTGCTTTTATCATTGTATGATATTACCGCAGCTTTATTCATCATATATTTTGTGTTTTTTTAACACTTCATTCCACAGGCACTCCAGAAAATCTGAAAGATCTAGCATCCAAAAACAGACTAGGAAAGGCATTGCTTCTGATGCAGAAAGGTAGGCTCGGTGTTGTGCTGTGCAGTCATCTTCTGTTTTACTAATACATTCAGGGTCCCTTCACTCGGATTTTATATGATCAGATCAGCTCTTATACACAGATGGTGATAGTGAAAGACATTTGTGTAAATAAATCACCTATGGGAATAGTGTCATCAAAAAAAAAACAAGAGTGACTTGAAGGCAGCCCTTATATCTTAGGGATCAAGGAAAATCTCATGTATAAATTTTAGTGATTATTCTGATTTTTAAAGAGAATTAAATGCATACTTATTTTTGTATACATATTAGGACATTCATATTTTGTTTCTGAGATTATTGAAGTGTTAACAATGAATATAGTACCTAAATATGCAAATATTTGTTATTTGAGTATATGTTATTTACCTGAATAATGCCTTTTAAAAATTGGTTTCCTACAAATGGATAATCTAAGATTATACTTGTATATTTCAACCAAAGATATTTGTTGAGTTAACTTAGAAATTATAAGGATTGTTGATCTTTCATTTGTGTAATTCCTCTAATTCTGCAAATTTTTTGAATATTTTGAGTGCAAGGTATTTGTTCACATTTTACATAGTTTTAAGAAAAAAACCAAAAATCCAATTAACATATTTATTCATCCAACTATTATTGAAAACATGGAGGGTGAGATAGATGTGAATGAATAAGCATATTCAAGTATCATAAAAATATGCACTATTTACAGTGAGAACACAGGGAAAAGAGTGGGTGCTGATGAGTTAGGAAATATTTTATAAACAGGTGTCACTTGAGTTAAATCCAGATATATAAAAGCAGATGTGAAGAGTAGAATATTGCATGAGAAGGGAACAATATGAGAAAGCACTGAGGCTTGAAATATCCATATCTATATATATTTACTGATTTCAGAGAGGAAGGGAGAAATAGAAACATCAATGATGAGAGAGAATCATTGAATGGCTGCCTCTTGGACATCCCCTACTGGGGATCGAGCCCACAGCTCAGACATGTGCCCTTGACCAGAATCGAACCTGGAACCCTTCAGTCTGGAGGCCAACGCTCTATCCACTGAGCCAAACCGACTAGGGCTGAAATATCCTCTTAAGTTTGAGGAAACCATACCCATTTGGGAAGGGAGAATAGGATACAGGAGATGGGAAAGATGTCTGAAAATAAAACTGGAGAAATCCTTAAAGATTATGTTATGGATGCCCTTGCGGGCCATGCTACAGAGTTTTACTTTCTGCTTTATTCCATAATCCATTAATGGATGTGCTTTCAACCTGGAGGTACATGATTCATTTTAAGTTTGATCACTTTGACAGCATTTTGGAAGGCAGATTGAAAGTTCTGAAGGTAGATGCAAGACACCAGTGAGGCTGTTAAAATAGTTTTTGGTTGAGATAGAATCGGTGTAACACATTCAGTCAATTAACAAACATGTGCCAAACTATTGTGCTAAGTTCATGGAGTAAAATAGTGAGCAGGGAAAAAGGAAGATTTTCCAGAAGATATTTACCTCTGAGCTGGGGTCAGAAACATGAGTAGGTATTAGTCACATCAAGGGAGAAGGGAAGGGGAGATGGAATTTATTACTGCCTAATGGTCTTTGAAGATATTAACTATTGAGAGAACTGAAGAATGGAAAAAGGATCTGGGAAACAAAAAAGTGTTGAGTTGGAATTCAGTTTTACAAAGGAATTGGACTTTGAGCAAGGAAGAGAAGCCCAGAATTTTAGTATTTTAGATAGATCAGATAGCTAGATAGGTAGATAGGTAGATATAGATAGATGAAATAATACTAATTATGTTTCTATTTATATATTCTTTAGTGTCAACTCAGCTAACTGCAATCTCTTTACTAGCACTGTAGACACCTTAAACTTATTAAGTTTTTAATCTTCAACCATTATTTATAACCTCGCTGTCTCATGCACACACAATTTCAATTATTTTGACAAGACTGAAAAATTTCCTCAATGTATTCTTTTCATTTCATTCATGCTTATTTATTTTGTATGTATTTAGGATGTATCAATGAACAAGTTTTTATTTGTTTACAATAAGATACTGTTTTGCAAAATGTTTGATGATTCTAGATCAACTAAAGGTGCTTAACTCCAGATGAATGATATCTGGGCCTCTCTCTCTGCAGCACTGAAAAGATCTGTAAACACAAATCCTCCCTTCAGTGAGAATAGCAGGATGTAATTGACTCCCAATCTCAGATATTTGCTGCTTAAGGACCATATTCATATTACTCTTGCCTTTACTTACTTTGCCTATAGGTTTTTGTTTGTTTGCTTTTGTGTGTGTGCCTCAGGCATGAACAGCCCTGGCCACCGACATAGGCATCAAGCTAGGATGAACTAAGGACTGTACATCTGCTTTGCCCCTGATTGATATAAGAGCAACACCACCAATCAGGCGTCTCCTTTCCCATTGCCAGGGGGTTGCCTGTAGGTTTTAATAAAGAAAACCCAAACCTTTCAGGTGTGTAAATTTGTTTGATTATAATAACACTCCTTATTGATTTTTATTGGAGTGTAAATTACACACCTAGTTTTGAAGTGAATTGTTGAATAGCTAGCTAACAAAAGAAGAATTGTTTTGGATTTTCAAAGTTTGTTCTCATTTTATTTCATTAGAAGATACCTTGAGTTGACATCTAACTATAGGTGAATTGAGGTCACAGTATGAATGCTGGTTACGCTGATTTTTTGCGTTTGGGAATTAATGACTTCCCCAAAGGAGTCATACCACACAGTTATGCCTTAGCTTCTAGAACAATTTGCTGAATAAGGATTATAATTTTGAAGGTCCTTTGTTGGCCTAAATAAACTGGGCCTTATGAGCAACAGCCTTGTAAGAAAATATCTTGAAAGATATGTTGATCATTTGCATATAGAACACAGGCAGAACAGACCTCTCTGACTTTTGTGCCTGGCTGTTTAAAACGGTGCTTCAGATTCTTTGAGGAAATGCCTCAGTAAAAGTCTGACTTTTCACCCTCATGTGAATTCTACCCAGTGAACTGCTAGCACCATTCCTGCATCCTATGCTAGTGGCCTCTTCTTGTGGGACCTACACTCTTTATCCTAACGGAGAGATGTTTCGTCAGGACTAGTATTTAGAATTACTTGAGTGTGCTTTTTATGTTGTTCTGATGCTACTGGAAAGAGCTTGTTTAAGCCTGACATGGCCATTATAGGAGGAACCATTTTGAAGATTTGACCTTAAATAGCACATACATGTTCATCCTTTAAAAAGTCTTTTAAAAACACAACTATATTGTTAAGTTGCAACAGACACAATTTATTGCAAGTCCGCTTACTGCAACAGACATGTCTGACTAGCCATCTAAGGTTTTGGTGAGAAATGTGTTTTACTTAAGTTCAAGTCTTAAACAATAGTCTTAGGTGAAGAGTGTAGGTATGGATAGAACTCAGTAGTTGGATATGGATTTGTGGATGGTGGACTAGAGTCACACACACTGAGGTTTAGTTAGAATTTTTCTCCAGAAGACTCAATGTTTTTGTTTAAAAAATATGAGATATGTATAGACATATATAGCAGATTAGATGTTCACGCAATGCCATTTTCAATGTTTTGTTCCTTCAAACTCTCAGAAGCCAATACTATGAAATCTTACTGAAAAATTTGATACTTGAACACATATTTATATTTGTCTGACAAGATTAATAGTATGCCCAGGGGCGTGAACTTTCTTTTTTTTCCCTCATAGGAGTATATTCTACCTCAATAGGCAGAAAATGGAGAAAAGTTGGAGCTCCAAGATCTGTGTGGATCTTGCCTTTACCACAGTTTCTGTCTTTTTGCAAGTCACTCTATGGTCCTCAGTTTTCCCATCCATAAAATAGGGATAATAACACTTCTCAGAGCTGTTGTGATATACAAACAAAGAACATACATATGGGTGTATGTGTGCATACATATATACATATATACAACACATTCAGCCATACAAACATACATACATGTATACACACATAGCCCCAGTGCCTGGCATGTGTAGATGGCTTCATTTTGATGCTCAGTGAAGAAAAGTTGTCACTATCATTCTACTTATCTCTCATTCTCTTCTGTTCCATTCTCTATTATGGTTGTTCTTCATCTCTTTCATTCTTACATTCTTAGCACATACCATTTCATTGAAAAGATAAGGCTCCACAGCCTGGATTCTCTCGAGATTTCACTCCTGTCCCTCAGAATTTCTTGATTAAGTCTCCTTTCGTTTTGACTAAAACAAACTGTACTTGGGGCCGTTATCTCTCATCTCCAAAACCTTGCTCTTCTCTCTTCACGGTCTGCATTGAGCTGTCCTCAGTTTCTCTGCCTGTGATTCAGCCTCCCTGACACACTGCTCTCTCTTCTGCAGGCACAGTGGTTTTCTGTGCCTCCCCTTTGGTCTGTGCTTTCATATTTGTTATAGTTTGGCTGATGGCAGGAACTGTTTTGTTACTAAGAGACTTTAAGTTCCTGTCAGAGAAATAAATAGATCTGGTGAGAAATGATTAACCCGAATCAGTACAAGCTTCTGTCACTGTAAAAATAATACAAATCAGGTATATAATTTAAGATACATACTGCAAATGAAGAAAAAGACAAAAACCCATACCTGTATTAAATAAGCATAAATACAGGGTAGGGCAAAAGTAAGTTTACAGTTGTGAGTATGGGAAACAGTTTATTATTGTATTGGTATTAATTATTGTTTTATTTTCTACATGAACAGCTGTAAACCTACTATTTCCCCATACTGTACAGTAGTCCTTACTTATCCACTGGGGATACCTTCCAAGACCCCCTGTGGATGCCTGAAACTTCAGATAGTACAGACCCTATATACACTATGTTTTTGCCTATACATACATACCTGTGATAAAGTTTAATTTATAAATTAGGCACAGTAAGAATTAACAATGATAAGTAATAGAACAGTAAAACAATACACAGTAATAAAAGTTACGTGAATGTAGTGTGTCTCTCTCTCTCTCTCTCTCTCTCTCTCTCTCTCTCTCATAACTGATTTGATAACTGAGGTGGCTACTAAGTGACTCAAAGGCAGGTAACACACCTACATTGTAAATACCCTGGGCAAAGGGATGATTCACATCCCGGGTAAGATAGGGTGGGCACCACAGGAGATTTCATGTGCTACTCAGAATGGCATGCAATTTAAAACGTACAATTATTTATTTCTGCAATTTTTCTTTTAATATTTTTGGGTCACAGTTGACTGGGTAACTGAAACCATGAAAAGCAAAAGTGTGGATAAGGGGAGACTACTGTATATATAAATATCAGTTCTTAAATATTAATCCTTAACTCATAAATTGGCTTCATAATAATTTTGAATTTCATATTGAGATAACTGTCAGTTTATGGACAACTATATTTTTAGATAGTTTTAGATATTTTTAGATATTAAAGGACATGATATCCCTATATCTGCCTTTTGCATTTAGCCAGTTCAGGAATGAAGCATTCTCCATCTTATTACGTCATTTTAATTTGTTGGACTGTTAATTAACCTCAGAAGATGTCTTCCTTTGCTACTTGGTACACACTTTCCTATTGCAGAGTAAAGTAGGCATAGACATTGTAAAAATATATACCCAGAGTTCTGCAGTGTATGTTTCTTCCTGAAAACAAGTGTTTAAAGTATCCCTGTGGTCATTATTCTAATCATACTGACATTTGAATAGGGTATCTTTATGAGCTCTTTCTCTTGTTCAGCTCTGTTCTAAGTCCTAGAGATACAGCTGAGTAAAAAAAAAGAGAGAGAGAGGAGAGGGAGAGAAGGACAGACAGACAGAAGTCTCTGCCCTTATGGAACTTATAAGAACTTCATTACAGTGAAGGAATCTAGCCTTCTAAAACCACATGGCGTGCATATTTGCAATAACCTGCCAGTGTGAATTGAACTGCATTTCCTTCATTGCACGATGGGTTTCCTCCTGGGTCTTAAAAATAACTGTCGTGTAAGAGTAACCAGGTTTTCCTTGGACAGATGTGTTGGTGTCAAAGCTCATGTGAACCTGCTGCTGACTGAAGATCTCTTTTGACCCTAATGTTTTAGGGTTCTCCCACCATGTCTTTCTAGAAGGGGATACGCAGCCCCAAGAGCGACTGATCAGCCAGTCCTTAGGGGAAAGCACCCCGCTCGCTCGAGGTCGAGTGAGCAGTCTAGGGTCAGAACCCTGTGTTCTGCCCACCACCTTGCCCCCGGAGGGTCGGCGCCACCTTCTCCGCTTCTGACCAGGTCGCTGTTCAGTGTCCCGCCCAGCATTCATGTCCTGCCTCCGGGTGTTGGTGTGGTGTTGTACCTTCCTGAGCACTCCACGCTTTCACTCATTATGACACCATGACTTTTGGTCCTCTCCTTGTGACACTTGAACCTCTCCCACATCCTCTCTTACTTGCATCTATCTCCACTGTGCTGGTGGTACTCTAGTTTCTGCCAATTAGCTCTCATTGATGATTAAATTTGGCTGTGTTATGTCCTTCCATCTGTTTGTGGCATATTCATATATATATATATTTTTAAGTATATAAATTCTTTATAAGAAATTATGTGGAATTAAATGTCTATTTGCTTTAAAAAGTATAAGAAATTTAAAGAAACACATTTTATAGGTGCTTAGTAAAAGCTTAGTTTTAAAGGTCTTTAGTGAAAAGAAAGTATGTTTCAATGCCAGCAAATAGAGGTCAGCTTACTCATGCACGGTGGTAACATATCTGTCTGCTTCTAACATTTTTATTTGTAATTTCATAACATGTGTCCAAGGTTATTTATTTTTAAATATCTTTCAAGATTTTCCTATTTTAAAATAAAGTAAATGCTGATTTATAAAATGTCTGCAACTATAACTATTTTTACCACTTATAAATAATTCTCGGTAAAAATGTTGATTAAATAGTAGCAGTTTAGGTAACAGCCTTTCTTAACTAATGTACCCATGCTGTGAAGATTCAGAGGCTGGGATTAGATATATTTGGCTCAGCACCACCGAAAATTGATAACCTAACAGAAAGCCACAGTTTCTTGGAAAGTTCATGAAAAGAAGTGAGTCCGATTCTGCTCCGGTTGGGAATTTATTATGCAGAACTGTGTGACACACTGCCCTTCCTCTTTTAGCCCCTTCTTGTAATAAATACTTTTACACATATCACACAAAGTATTTGAGTTTCCTTCCAAAGGCCTCGTTAGGGGTTTTATGCTGTGTTGATAGTGACAGGAAGAAGGAAAGGGTTTTTGTCAGGCCTTCTTGGGATTTTATCGTTTCATTTCCCCCCTTTGTGGTTTGTCCACAGGACACACAGACAAGGAAGTCCATCCCACTCTCCTCCCGCGGACACTTCCTTCAGCAGCCGGAGGGGCAGACAGCTCCCACAAGTGCCCGTGAGAAGCGGCAGTATAGAACAAGGTATTCGCTAAAGAGAGATCATTGTCCAAAAATCTTGGATTTGAGAACTACCTCTTTTGATACATCTTTTAGTAAACAAATAGTATTGTGATTACATGTAGCTTGCTGAATCCTAAGAATTTCAGTTTCTTAGAATTTTATTCCCAGCACCAAGTTATAATGGTTCATGGTGTAGACTGTGTTTTTGCTGAGTGAGTGAATGATTGAATTTTAGATGGTCTATTGAAAGGAAGGATTGAGCCCTGCAGATACCTTTTTTACAAAGGACAAAGAAGGAAAATTAAATTTTTAAAACCTCAGTGCAATATGGTATATTCTTTTAAAGGAAGATTTATTTGACCTTGTTTTTCAGATATATCCTTGATTAAATACTTGATCACATAGAAGGCTTTACTAATGTGTTTTATTTTAAATTATTTGCAAGGTCTTGTGTTTTTGTATAAATTTGATAAGAAGTGATTTAGAATACACAGTTTAGTGTTTTGTTAACAATTTGTGTTACTTAGAATTTCCTTTTTTTAAGAATATACACACTGTTTTATTTTCTTGGAATTGGGTGGGGGGAGTGTTTTGATAATGGAAATAAATTCCCTAAAATATCTGGGCAAGATAATTTAAATATTGGGTTAAAATAGTCACTGTGTCCTTCATGTGATCCAAGGTGCTATTCCATTTCTCAGTAGGTGAAATGATGAATTATCAGTACTGTATATGTTATCACATACCTTAACAGGGAATTGTTAAGCAGTTTCCTGGAATAATTTTTAATTTAGGGTTGTAATATAAATGCAGTAGACTTACATTTAAAACATGTATTATAAATCTTTATTTTTTTGAGACAACTGAAAGGTTAACATCTTGAATATTTTTCAACAGTGTTGGTTGTTAGCGATGTTTACTTGTATTCCACTCTGAGTTGAGAGTGTTGGGTACCTGTTTCCTCACTTAATTGAAGTGCTCTATTGAATGTATCACAGAATGTTAAAGTTCTAAAAAGATAAATGCATTGTTTCCAAGACTGATATGACAGAATTTGTAAGCAGAATACTTGGTTATAGAAAAATTAGTGTACATTTTAAGAAGTATCCACTTATTCATAGAGGAATGCCGCTATAGTAATCTCTGGATTTGTATTATTTTTTTAAAGTTGTACGTCCCATTGATATTTTATGCTTTGCTATTCAGGTTTCATATACAGGTACTTATTTAGTCATTTGGGAAAATATAAGGCTATGTGAAAAATCTGACTTTCTTTTCTAAAATAGCAATTCCCTGGAATTCTCATTCATATGTTTAATAAGCTTTCTTTTTTCTTGGGAACATTTTGAGAAGATAATTCACAATTTGTGTTATCAAGACTGTAATTAGCAATAGCAATAGCCTAGATGAAATGGATTTAAAATTTACTTTTAAAAAATAAAATTTGGTGTTTATGTAAATTATCCAGTCATGACTTCCTGTTGCACAACTAAACAAACTATGCATTCTGGTATTTAGCTGCAAACTTAGTATTACTGGCCATATCTTGCTTAAGATTAAAATCTAAAAAGTCATGTGTTCCTAAAATTCTTTGCATTTCCTCCAGTTGCTGAAACACTTTAGGTTCAGATCTAATAAGGGTACTGCTTATAACTCTCATATAGTGAGATTACAGTTATATTATTTCTGTAAAATAAGAATTGCATCTTTGAAATCAGTTGGATTGTATGCTGGATTTGAGTGTTTAAAAAAGCTCATGTTCTATTTAATATCAACATTACTATTTATTATTATTCATATTCACAGTTGTCTTTCAGATAAATCATCAATTTGTAAGGATTGAATTGAGGTGGTAAGAAAGGGGTGGCTGGGGATGAAATTGGAGGCGTTATTTTGCTACTTAACATCACAAAGACACTAGTAAACACTTACTTGAGTTTCCTGAAAATCACGGTTTTATAAATTCAACCTATTAAGAATATGACAACACATGTTATATCTGTGTTCTTCTGTAATTGAAATAGATTTGGTTTATTTTATGATGTTAATATGTGCTTTGGGTAAATAATGTCCATCATCTTATTATTGATTTATTTCAAATTGAACAGTTCGCAATTGATTTATTTCAAATTGACGTCTTTTGAGTATCCTAAAATATGTTTTTAAAAGTACACTTCTAATTTGACCCATGGACTAGACAGAATTTAGCACGTTCTACTTAACATTGATTGCATTGTTGTTCTTAGGGCTACAGAATTATCTTTTTTTCTTTTGATATTATTTGTTAAACTTTAGTTCTGTCTTCTTTGAAGATGAATGCAGTTTATTTGCAATTTATTAAGGCTCTACTGTGCTTGACTTCCTTCCAGTCTTCTTTTTTTGTTTGTTTTTTAATTTTGAAGAGGGTATTTTTTCTTTTTTAATAAAAATTGAACTGATAGCAGTTGATTGGTAAGAGCTAATATTCCCAATGGTTTAAATTCCTGGAGAGTGATACAATTTCCTGTTAATGTTATAAATAACTTTATTAAAGCACAGTTTCTGGATACTGTTGTCTACATTGTTGTGTCTAGGATTCATGCTGAGATTATTAGTTTGGGGTTTTTTGTTTGTTTGTTTTGTTTTTCTATAACTCAGTTTTACTACTCTCTTTATACTATAAAAGCAATATGTGTTATTTTAAAGGCCACCAGATCATTTGAAAAAGCATTTTTACTTAATTTTTTATAACACTGTATTTCACAGTGTTGTTTTTGATTTAGGAATGTTACATGGAATTTATGTTAAAATTTTGTTAGGGGAAAAGAAGAGGGTTGATAAAAGTACAGATTTTGAGATACAGTAGCCGAAAAAATAGCCTTAAAATTTAGGCAACTCAAATGGTATTGTGATAATTGAGAACAAAGACTTCCAAGAAATTTATCTGGTTATATTTCAATGTTGTATTCCAGTGTCACCCTTACATACATATTGGTTGCATAAAAGTGTTGTATGGTTTTCTGAAACCAAATGATACTTTTTTTGTTCTCAACTGGATATCTTTTAGAGAAAATATGTTTAAAGATTGTTCATGAATTAACACATGCTGTGCCACTTATATTTAATTTGTCTTGTTATTATATCTGCTACCCATAATCTAATGATATTCCTCTTTAGAAATACTTAAATAGGCTATTATTTCTCAGTAATTAGTGTACCAACATGGAGGTTGGTGTAAAGCCTTATGAAATATCTAAGAAATATAGTCCCCAAAGAACAATTTCACCATGACATATTTTATTATCATTCATTTGAAAAGGAAAAAAGAATTTCTTAAATTAGATTTTTCCCATGTGGAAAATGTTACAGAATATTTTTCATGATGGAAAAGAAAATGCCTACTTCTAGTAAAAAAATGCAATTATTTTTGTCACTGATTATATTAAATTTCAAATTATCTGAAGTGCTATATTTTTAAATAAATTATGTTAGTTATGAACATTAAATATATTTAAATAGTTTTACAATACAAAGTCACAATGTGTTAAAATGTTTTAGTAAAATTTATGCTGAAATATTTTTAATTCTTATAAAACAAGAAAAAAAATACCATAAAATATTCTTTTCAAATTCCAAATGTATTAATTTTCCAGTTTCTGTTTATATTTTAAATCTCTAAAATCGCTGTATTCATTCTTTCTTTGGTTAATTTTAGAACCATACTTGAGACTTCCTCATGTTTGTCATTGTAATTTATCATGTAACGTTACATGTTATACCTTTCTATTATTCATACCATTGTGTTGATTCACATTTTCATGTCTAACTATAAATTTGCTGATTTCTTTCTTTTGTTTCCATCATTATGTGCATTTAATTCATTGAAGAACAAGAAAAATATAACTCTTCCACAAAAGGTAAATATTAATGTAACTTTTTAACCATTTAAAATTGTTCCTTTCTTTCATAATATATGAGAAAGTTTTATAAAAGTATTTATTGAAATGAGCAACATTATTTAACAGTAGTTTTTTTCCCTGCAATGATTTTGTAGGACATTTGGTATTATTTTGTATTGTGAGCAGTTCACATCAAAGAAGAAACTATTAAAATTAAGAATATTTATCTGCACTGACAACTAGAAAACCATTCTTATTTTATATGTTTCTGTTTGTTTGCCCTGCTCTATAGATAACGATTTAATTCATACTTTCTGTTCAGGGTAGTATATGGTACAAAGGAATAGAAAATCCCTTGATTTTCTCTTATAGATAGCAGTAATCCTGTTGAATGTTTGGTTCCCACTGCAGTCATGTGTCTAGAACAGTGATGGCGAACCTTTTGAGCTCGGCATGTCAGCATTTTGAAGAACCCTAACTTAACTCTGGTGCCGTGTCACATATAGAAATTTTTTGATATTTGCAACCATAGGAAAATAAAGATTTATATTTTTGATATTTATTTTATATATTTAAATGCCATTTAACAAAGAAAAATCAACCAAAAAAAATGAGTTCGCGTGTCACCTCTGACACGCATGTCATAGGTTCGCCATCACTGATCTAGAAGGTAGCTGCCAAAATATTACTCCTCATGATATCAATATTGTTATAATGCCCATCAATTCTATCTTCCCAAGGGACAGAGAAGGGAAACCATTCGGCCTGCTGTGTTGGCACATTGTCGACATCCTATCTTACTGTCTTTTGGATCACATTTGATTTTTTGGCTTTGGACTTGAGTTTCAAGTACATGCACACTCATCCCACTCTCATGTGCCACTCACATCATTTTCTATTCAGTGTCATTTTTGTCCTGATAGTTAAATATTTGAACATGAGTTTTTGCTTAATGAAATAAGTCTTATAATGCTTAAAATTATATAATGCTTTATAATTTAATAAAATACATTTACTCAATATTTTCAGATTAATGATTGAATCAGTTTGTTGTCCATAGTAACTCTAAAAGTCCTGAGAGTAGCATCATCCCTATTATGAATGATAAACTCAGGTTAGCGAGATTAAGAGATTGACCCATTC